CTGAATCCTTCAAAGAAGAAGGGTACTATAAATTTCCTAAAACTGGAAGATCCTCCTCCCCCCACTGCACAAATCAGGAACACTACATTCCTATGGCTCACAGCTGTCCTTAAAGGCTCCAGGGTGGATGTGGGCCAATGGTGAGATGCTGCAACACATGTACCCATAACATTAGTCCCCAAGCCTCCTATGGAGCTGTTACAGGAAACAGCACTAGGCTGGAACAGTGTTGCTATAAAAACCAGTGGAACAGCGAGGGAACACAGAAAGCACAGAAGGAGAGATCCTGTCCACCCGCCCCCATTTCCCAGAAATCCTAATTTGCAAGATGCCAGTATCTGCGTGAGATTTTTTTGCTTACCGCTCCCCGCCACCCCAAGATAGTCCTATCCATGTCTACAATGCATAGCTGATATCACATACTCTGAGCTGTTTAAATGTGGATGGTGGTGGTGGAGCTACACACTGACACCGAGACATTTTTATTCCTATGCTAAACCATATATCAGTATTTGAAATGTAATTATTATATTCTTGATTCCAAGGGGACTCATTCTGCATTATCATTCTGAATCAGCAGAATGCTTGCCTTGGAAGGCCACCCTCCAGTGTCCAGGTGGGCACAAACAAGGAAGAGCGCAGCCGGGGCACTCTCAGCTGCTTTAAGGAGCCTCAGCCACACTCCGCGTTTCCTCTCTACAGCAGATTTAAATAGAGGGTGACATTTGGGCAGAGGGTGAAAGACCATGCTGACTGCAGCCCACCTGCATGACATAATGGACTGGGTAGGTGGCAGGACTGCTCTGACCCCATGAACATTTAGGCCAGGTTACCCCGAGGGACAAGAGTAGAGAAGCAGCTACCTTGTACCGAGACCAGCCCTTGGTCCATCGAATGCAGTGTTTCTGACCACTGACTGGCAGCAGCTCTCCAGAGGCTGGGCAGAATTCCTTCTCATCACCAGCTGGAGATGCTGCAGATTAATGGTGGGACCTTGTGCAGGCAATGCGAGTGCTCTTATTCCTAATTTATGGTCCTTGCTAGGTAAGGGTAGCCACAGGTGCGGCTGGTGGGTGTTGCTACCCCCCCCATGTCTTTCCTGAATAACTTCTACAACTTGACTGCTGATTGACTGCCTGTACACTGCCACTTCCTGCAGCTTTGTTCTGTTCAACCTGATCCCCCCTCACCCTGCCTTCCGTCTTTGCCCTGAACCAGGAAATTCCCTCAGGCTGTGGGTGTGCAAAGAACCACCCTCTGCACCAAAGTGCCCTTTCCCCTGTGAGAGGAAGTTGTTTGCATAATACCTGTATGGTTTTGGCTGCCTGAGCAAATGGCAGCTTCAAGGCAGAGGCAGCAGTGGATGGTGTTCAGCTGGTGACCCTGGCTGGGAAAAGCATTTCTACAGCCCTCCTCTAGGATTGGGGTTCTGTCCCAGTTTCCCCATCCAGGGGATTCTGTCCCTTTCAGTTTGGCCCAGTAGATCTGAAGCACAAGCCACGCTTCTTTCAGGGCTGTTGCCCTCTAGTAGTCTTCATGAAGCACTGTAACTCGAGTAGGATCCTTCTGCTTTCCTCGCTGGCAGGGTGCTTCTGACAGGGCTCCAGCCCTAGGACATGTGCCTGGTGGCCGAAGGCAACAGCTCCTGTCCCTCCAGCTGTGAGCAGCTCAGCTATGGAGCATTTAGCTGACAGATGCTTAGCAGAAAAGAACAGCATTTAATGTTCTCATTACCAATCAGTTTGAGTTAGTCAAGCTGAAGAAGCAGGAATTTAAGGAAGCATTTGCTGCCATTACAAAGCTTTTAAATAGAGAGTTAGTGCTCAGAGAAGCATCTTCCACCTTCCTCCGAACTCGAACGGCCACTGACGGGACGGCCAAGCTCCGTTCCCAAAGAAGGCGGAGCACATTTTGGAGGTTTACGCCCAGCCACGGGGAGCGGAAGGGAAGGGCGGCTGGGCTGGGGCCGGCCACGGGAGCACGGGCTGGTTCCGAGCGCCCCAGCCGAGCTCCGAAGGGGCACCTGGGGGAGCCTCTGAGCTGTCCGGTGGGAAAGCAACTCCAAGAAGTGTGCTTGTCCGCCGCCGGGCTTGCTTGCAGGAGCTGACCCTGGAAACGGTCTGGGAATGTGAGACAGAAATGAAGGGGCAATGAAAGAGCTCCCTAGGGCAGGGGAAGAGGAAGCCGGTATCTGGTTTTGAAGAACTTAATACAAAAGCCTGATTCAGACGAACACTCCCACAATTCATGGGGAGGGACAGTTCTGTGGCACTTCCTCCAGCCTGCAGAGACTCCCTGCCCCGCTAAGCGCCCGCTGTGTGTGTGTAGGAACAGCTGCGGCAGCAGAACGAACATGCCTCGGTCAGGGGTGGGAAGTGCTGTCCGAATCCCGCCTCCGCCTCCGTGCAGTCGCTGTGCTTGTGTTCAACTCTGGAAAGTACGAAGATGAATTCAGGGCCATTTTATATCTTTCACGTGTGACAGGATGGCTCCAGACTGTACAAGCAGCCCAGGACAAATTCTCTTCTTGCTATGTTATCACTGAAGTCCATGGTTAGGAATCCAGTGTTATGCAGAAGCCTTGTTTGTTTACTTCTGAGTGACTTTGCTCTTTGCCAGAGTGTCCCACTGCATGCTTTAGAGCCACCATCCTATGCACATTCAGAAGAAAGAAGTCTGACACGTACCAGCATTGTTATAGGGCTTTTATATGTCCTTACATGCATGGGATCGCTCCACGAATGAGCTTACCTCCTTTATTATATTTTTTTCCCTTTCACGGCACTCAACGCTTGCATAATTCTCATCTTCTCAATCTTATCCTCACAACAACCACCCTGTGAGGTAGGTTGGGCTGGGACTGGCCCAAAGTCACCCTGTGAACTCCATGGCCGAGTAGGAACTGGAACCCAGATTGCTGGAGTCTCTGCCTGTGCTCTTAACCACTACGCCACCCTGGCTCTCATGAGCACTTAAGTACTGGGTGTTACATGGAGAAAAATGAGGGGCATATTGTTTAGTGAAGGGCATGGCTGGATCATAGAACGTCTGCCTTGCCTCTTGGTCTTTCATTAGGTTTATTTTTGACTGTTTGTTGTGCTTGTTACTTTTATTTGTAAGCTATGTTAAGCTGGACCTGACAGGTTCTGGCCTTGATCTCCAGCAGCAGGAGATCAGCAGCAGGAGCAGGCCTGAGGTGGGCTGCCTGTGGCGCCCACTGCTCAAGCGTGGCCCCTGTTGTGCCACTGGATTCAGCAGTAAAGTGCTTTTGGTGCTACAGAAGGCTGCCACATTCAGCTCGTCTTACTGCTACATCTGACCCTTTCAGCACCTCATAGCCATATGGTAGTGCTAGCATCACAACTTTTGATAGTGTGTGTGTGTGGGGGGGGGGGTGGATTCACAGAGTATGATGTGGTTTGGGTTGCAGAAGCAGCCCCCTATTCGCCTGGAGATGGCCTAGCTCAAGCAGTTGTCTGACTTGGCATAAAGCAGTTTAGTACATTCATATTGTACCTTGAAGTAACATGCTAAATACATCAGAATGTGCGAAGAGTTTGACCCTGGAGAACACCCATTGTCCTCTTCTTTATTTACGCATTTACTAGTGATAAGTCCCACTGGCTACAGTGGCTTACCTCAGAGTAAATATACATTGGACTGCACTTTTCAACATTAAAACCGAAAGGCCCAAAAGAGGAGAGGTGGCCTAAACAGTGCCACTGGCCACTAACTAATGAAAGAAGAGCCATCAAATACGTAGGAAAGATGAGAGATACTAGACCACCTAGAGATTATTTTCAGTCTGTGAGAAGAAGGCAATTCTATTCAATCATCTGCCTCAAGTAAGATACCTTTTTATGTTACAAATAAATGAAAGGTTCTTATAAAGGTACTGGAAGTTACCAGAATAGACTGGCACAAGTCACTCTGCCATCAAACATGGACTAAGTGGATAGGAAGTAGTGGAAAAAGTTGCAGCTGCCTTTCTATTGATTTCTCACCTTTCCCTTACTCCTCTAATGTCACATCTACTTCTAAAGTTCCCTGCCTGTGAGACAGCTTTCAGCATTTTGTTTTTAAAAGAGGACTCCAGAAGCTGAAGTCTTACCCTGAAATGTGGCTTCCTATTTGAACACGCTTTCTTCTAAAGTCCACAAGTCCTTGCTTCATAAAACTTAGCAGAAGTATTCACTTCTCTTCTATTTCTTTACACTTAAGGGCTGAGTGGTCCTGGACTGGCATTAAAATGAACCACCACCATCTAGCACTGAATGCAGGTGAGCTCTGGTAGTCTCCACGTGTAAGTAAAAACCGCTTTGAATGAACTGCGAATATGGTGCAGTGATGCACTGTTTTCCTTGCTGCGGGGCAGCATCCATCTGTTCCCTCCAGGGTGCTGCTTTGAATTCCTCTGCGACCTCCTTTGAAAAATGCATCACTTAGATTTGCACCTCAGCCAAAGATCTCACTCCTCGTTCAGAAACAAGGAGAAAAACATCTTGTTACATGAAGTGAAATAACACGAGTTGGCATGCTTCTGCTCGGCTGCAGGGATCCGGGCCTAAGTTACATGAAGCTGGTTCAGTTCAGACCTTGCAAACCAACAGGGCTCTTTTGGTCCAGGCAAGTGCTTATGTGGCTTTCAGTGCCGCTTGCCTTCTGACATCACTCCTGAATCTTTTAAGACTCTCTGCTGGTGTTTCAAGTTCTTCCGTGCAGGTTCTCACAGCTGAGCTTCCAGCATCACAAGCCCTCCAACAGGTAGCCTTGCCAGCTCAGCTCCCAAGCAGACATTCCCTTCTCAGTTTTTTCTCTGAAGTAGACACAGGGCTGCCTGTCCAGCTCAGATGGCAACACCAGTGGTGCTGCTGAGAGGGTACAAGTTGTCCTAGCCCCAAGCTTCAGATCTGAGCCTTGGTACCTTCTCACCAAATAACACAGGAGACGGGCATCATATGAAAGACAACATGTAGAAAAGGGGCCACTGCACGGACAAAAACTGCATGGACAGCACGTAACCATCCATTTATTCCTTTATATACAAATTCAGCTGCAGGTTGAGACAATAAATTACTTCTTAAACCTAAAAAAATACAAGTCGGCACACAAGCTCCTAAATATTCTGAATGTTTCTTTTTGAGAGTTTTGGGGAACCTGCCCCACGTTTTATGGGGGGATGAGCTTATCTGTGCCTTCTTCTGAGATCCCTTTACCCCACCCAAGTGGAGTGAAGGACAGGGAAAGCTCTCCCACAGTCAGTCTCTTTGTCCATGCATGTTTTCAACCCATAAAAAGGGTGAAATTGGGAGGGAGGTTTCCAAGGCTATGAGCAGGAGTCAGGAAACTCCCCCAGTCTGTGGTGTGTCGGCCCATGGAAGACGTGCGGCAGACCCCGCACAGTTCTGCGTCGTGCTTCCTGAGAAGGGTGTCACACGGCAGGGTGCATGATCATGGGCTCCTCCTCACTCAGCCCAGGGGAGTCTGGTGCGGCTTCTCCACTGACCGAAGGGGGGAAGGGTGGGTTGTGATTAAGGTTGACGTAAGTGACATTAAGGTTGATATAATGCTCCCCCTTTAAGCAGGCTACAATATGCTCTACTTCCTCGATCACAGAAGAGAAAGTTGGTCGCTCCTCAGGGTTGGGGGTCCAGCAGTTCAGCATTAAAATGTACCTGCCCGAATTTAAAACAAGCAAGCATTAGAGCAGGGAGAACACCAAGCCAACCATCTTAACTTCAGAACTTATGGGAAGAGCACATTGGGGTAGTGACCAGCCATCACACTGTTCCATGCCCGGTTTCGCAGGCCATGATGGGCGGAGACTGAACTGGCTCCAGGCTGTAGCATGTTCAGGACCATGGACAGAAATGTGTGGGTGCGGGGTCAGGTCTGGGAGTTCAGGCGTGGGGCTGTGAAAAGCCAGCCAACAGCCAGGTGAGACGTGAGAGCAACTGACAGCGTTTCATACCCACATAAGCCCTTCTGGGAGCTCTACCCCCTCCTGTGCTTCATCTGTTGCCCTGACACGGCTGCCCAGGAGCTCTTTGCCCCAAGAGGAGTCCAAGGAGCACTCCTCAGACCCAGGGGGGAGTGGTGCCTTGCAGGGAGCAAGGGGGCTGGTGAGGGGCCCTAGCAGAAGGCCCTACTTAGATCATCTAGGAGCAGATTCTCTTGCAGGTTTGTGTTCCTGCAACAGCAACAACACAATCCTGTTGGGACCTGCCACTCTTGCAATGGGCTAACCAGAACGAGAGGAAAGGCTTGCTTGTGGAACAGGGCAGGTCAGCAGCGTTTGCAAGGGATGCCATTAACCTGTCCCAATTTGTAAACCAAAAGGACCATCATTGGTTGACTCAAGAAGCCCCACATTTCTGGTGTGCACCCAGGGGGTCCTACAAGCACAATAGAAGCCGCAGAGGCAAAGCCGTCCACTGGACACCGACCATACAGGGCAGTGGGGTTCTCTGCACATTATCTTTGCGCGCCTCTGCTCATTTAGAAGCTCTACAGCAGTCACTGGTTGTGGCCTAACAGGAACAGACAAGTCTAATCTCAACTAAAAGCTCAGAAACCAGACCAGTCAATCTTCACTTACTCCATGTTTCCCTTTCTTTTGCACATCTCGGGCATCCACTCCCTCCCTCTCATTCATTGCCTCTGCTTTATAAATCTCCCTCTGATATTCATGATATTCTCTTTCCAAGAAACCCCATGTATGCACCTGCATCCCTGTTTGGATTCCTTGATTTGCAAATTCAACACAGAATTTTGGACACTTTCCCGGACTCTGACACAGGAGGGCAGCTTGCTTAGCTCCTCACACATTTTGATGTAACTGAGTCCTGGGAGGAAGACCCTTCACTTCACTGTGATGGAAGCCCTCTGGATGCCATCTCAGCATTCCTCTCTCTCCACAGGCTTAAAGGTCTCAGTGGCCCTTCCTTCCGTAGGCTGGCCTTTTAAAGAGGCCTGCCAAAAGGTCATATACAGAGACTCACAGGGAATCTGGGCAGTATTCCGGCTGAGGCAGCCTTCTTCCCTGCAACAGGTAGCAGGTCATATCATATGGATCCACTTCAGGATAGGGAGACGCTCCTCGTGTCATCAGCTCCCACATCAGGACTCCAAAAGACCACTAGGCAGAAAAGCACAGACAGAGGAGAATGTTCAGGGTGCGCAGAGAGGGCAGGTGGCAAAACCAGTCTGCTCTAGTTGAACCCGCCCTTTCCTCACCGACTCCCTGCCATCACATGCCGTTCTGTCGGAAGGAACCTGATAAATTGCTGTGTTTCCTTTTATCTTTTTAACTAAAAACTGGTGCTAAGATTGGCTTTTTCTTCCTCCCTCCCAGTTCTTTTTCTTCTTGTGTTGTGTGTTTTTAGATCTTAAGTCTGAGGGCAGATACTGTCTTGTTACTGATATTTATAAGAAGCTCTGTCAGTCTTTTTTACCTGAAACACAGGGTCAAAATGTTCTAAAATATACGTACATAGCATCCCCACTCCCCATTCAGCAAGTACCAAATATGTAACATTAGAATGCAGCCTTTTATCACAAGGATATAAAATGATTTTTAAAGACTATAGATGACTATAAGAGTATTTCCCAGCGGCGTCTGCCCAAACGCCAATCATCTGATTGCCAAGAGGCCTATTTTCCAATATGAGTGGACAACACATCAGCACAGGCTGGGGCTGGCCTACTGCATTTTGTCACCCTAAACGGAAAGTCACAGAACCCGTCCAATGCAGGGGCGTTTCCCCACCCATCCTAGCTAGCTCTGAGGCTCCTCCAACCTTGCCTCCACTGCCACCCCTACAACAGCCAGTTCTCTCCTGCAGCCCCCGGTCCAGCCTCCCCACCATTCTTGCAGCTACTCTGAAGACCTGGCACCAAGATTCCCTTTTCCTTCTCTCCTGCTGTTTCAGAGATGCAGTCGCACATGCTGCAAGAGGCAGTCCCATTCCTCTCTTGCCGCATCTCTTGCCTGTGCTGGACCCCTGATGCCCAGCCCACCAAACAACCTGGTGCAGGGCTGAGTGTGGCACATTCACACTGAGCAGGCCTTCTCCTTGCATCTGGTCTGGCCTGAGTGAACTCCAGGAGGTTGCCTTGGCTTCACCAAGAGACAAGCTCTTACCACTGGGCACCCGAGGCAGCTGACTAGAGCAGTACTTCTGAGGCCTACTGTTTTCCCTCGTGGCAAGCAGCAGGCGAGAGGAATGGCAGGGGCCAGATTCACAAGCAACATTAAACTCTGGTTTAGCATTAGATGCACAAGCCACTAAGCTCTCGTGCTCCTCCTCCTGTGTCCGCCATTTTCAGCTGTGATCCATTATAATTAAACCTGGGCAGATTAGAATTAACCTTAGCTTAAGAAACGAACCATCTTTCAACCATGGTTAATTCTTCAGGGTTGTTTCCCTAAATCACAGCCAATGGCGAGCACAGTTCTGTTTGGATGAAATGAATATATGTGGTTGATTGAAATGGAAATAAGTTTCCCCTCTTTTCCTCAAGCCCATGTTGTGGGGGCAGCAGAGTGTACGAGCCCAAGGCTTGCCCAAGCTTATTTCAGCGATGAATGCCGAGCTGAGGCCTAGCTACCCAACACAGATGTTCATAAATGAGCCCTTTCCCTGCTTTAGTGATTATATAACCAGATTACACATTTAGTAGGAAAGACCAAGGGCGAACCACTAGCACCCTGGGGGGCTCCCATGTCCAAAGACTGCCTGCTGTCTTTGCTTCCACTTACAACATCAGATTTGGTGGTAAATTTTTGGGTCTGCAAGCTTTCAAGAGCCATCCATTTCACAGGGAGTTTTGCTCTGCGGTGTCGACGTACGCTGTAATACTCCTTGTCGAAGACATCCCTGGCTAGCCCGAAGTCGGCCACCTTCACGGTGAAGGTCTCATCCAGCCTGGGAAGCACAGACAGGAAAGGGGCAGTCGGGTTAGGAAGGTCAAGGCAGACAGATAAACTATACCCATTGGGACATGGAAGCTCTCTTAAGTTCTTTTGCCATTTTTACCCAATTCTGGAAAATCAGTGCTTTTATCCTCTCAGGAGTGTACAAGTACCTGGCAGTTTCACCAAGAGATTTATATCTTTGGAACTACCCGAAGAGTTGATCAGATGAACTTCATTCTCCCAACTGAGGCAACCTCATGGCACACAGTGAGGCCTTTGGACTAAGAGGAGCCTTGCTGCAACAACACTCTCCTACCCATGTTCCCCAGAAAATGGACCAAACAGAAGAGGCAGAGAAAATGCCCTTCCATACAGAGGAGTTTGTCCCATTTCTAACACATTTCTGAACTGGTGTCATCAGGGCCACGTCGCCTGAGGAGCTACTCAAACCTCCAGTCAAAGACTGAAAAGGTGAAAGTAAATGCCACTAAATGTTAAGGATAAAAGACATCAACAGATGAAGAAAAAGATGGGACGAAACCTCAGAAAGTTTGTTATGTACTCCAGAGGATGAGAAGCAGCTCCTCCAAGGCAGCCAGGGCTGGAGAGGATGTGAGGGAACAGGCGAGAACCGGCTAAGAGCCTCCATACTGGAATGGTCAGGGAGGCTCCTGCCAAAAGTCCCTCAGCTGTAAAAGCTCCCCAAAGTGAGGCTCCCTGTGGGTGCAGAACCCTTTCGTGTACTGCACAGAAAGCATAAAGAAAAAAACCCGTTGGCGTTAAGAGGGGAATTTAGTCCCACTGGGAATAAATTAATTAAAAGTATAAACTAGACAGACTGAACTAGGAAGCCCAAAGGCCAGTCACATTTGTACAGATCCTTGCCTACCCACACCCCAACAACCAGTTCCTCTCCACAAGCCAGGATTGTGTGCACAGCCCACCCCAGTACTTACATACAGTTTCTAGCAGCCAGGTCTCTGTGTACAAACTTCTTCTGGGCCAAATATTCCATCCCTCGGGCCACTTGCAGTCCAAAGCCTATTAAGTCCTTCACAGTAGGGTTCTAGGAATTGGGGAAAAACACACACCACTGTCTGACATTAAGAAAAAATAAAAGGAGTTTTCCATCTGGCTCAGGAGTTTATGTCCCTCTGGAGACTGTAGCTTTGTAGCTCCCTCAAGCCAGCGTGACTTGAAGTTAATTTCAGGGCTGCTTCACACAGCGTCACCTTTGGATAGGGAATGGAGAGCATACTGCACACATGCAGTCATATGCGGCAAGCAGATGAGTCTACAGATATAATCACATCGCAGGAACGTTCTGCCGACTTACTCTTTCCTTTTGTGCTTTACGTGCATATGGCAAAACAGACCCTGACGACACGACATCGCACGCACAGGGTCTGCATAATGCTGTACGCAGGATCGAGAACGATGCAGGGATCCAGTCTTGTGTGAAACTTCCCTTAAATGTATACTGTTATATATCACATATGTATGCCTGTGTGGCCCCCAGGTGGATAAAGACTCTCACTGCCTCTCCCCATGTTCATTTATGCAGAAGCATGCCCCAACCAAGTATGTTGCCTTTGTCTCACAAGCATCGCTGCGGCAGTGATACTGTGCTTGCACATGAACTATGCAAGGGAAACAGGAGGGTCCTGCTGCTGTGCTGCTTGCCTGCTTTCTTGGCCAAAACAGCATGGCTTCTATAGCACTGCGGCTTGTTCTGTGGTCTGAGCCCCCAGTCACTGGCAGGATTCACTGCCACGGGAGCTTAGAGTGCTGTCGAAACCCAGCACACGTTCCCCATGGTGGCTTCTTTGCAGCTATGTAGCCGACCCAACAAGGCACAGTGTTTGCGGCTTGTGCAGCCACCCCTGGGCTCGCTGTGTCTAGCAGTAGCTAAGACGGCTAAAGAGGTGCTGGGCAAGAGCAGCACAAAAAGCTCGGCACTCTTGCAGACTGGCTCTGCATGAGCAGTGATGGCAGCAGCCACTGGACTCTTGATGTCAGTTGCACATTGCGACTAGGGGCCCCGTTTGGGGCTCAGAGTAGTGGGACTCAGTGGAGCCTGCTCCCACCAGCCATCCTTCCTGCTTGGGAGAACTCCTCATGAGCCATGACTCACCAGAGTGGGGCTGCCACAAGCCGCATCGCAAACTCCAGCTGCCAGAAGCAACCTCCTCTTCCCCTTTCGGGAGGGGGAAGAGCTGCACTCTGGTGGGTCTTCTTGGAAGGAGGCCCAGTAGAATGTGTTGCCCTTGCTCAGCATGGCACAGGCTGGGGGATCAGCACATTCTGATGGGTCTCTTTGGAAGGAGGCCCTGCAGATCACAGCTTGGATCCTCGCCCAGCAGAGTTGCTTGCGAGCAGCCCATCCGCAGTCCCCTCTCGCTGTTTTGGGCCGCTGGCCAGCTGCTTCCCCTGGGTGTGGTGCTGGATGGTTCCCACTGCATCAGCCTACTTATGAGCAGGCTCAGTGCTCCCATGCAGCAAGAGAAGGGGGCCTCAGGGCCACAGTCTGCTCAACCAGCTATCAGGCACATTGCCAGCTTTCCGCAGCGTGCCACACAGTGTGAGGCTCGCTGTGCCACACAAACCTGCCCACTGTGCTCGCAGAAGGAATGGATGCGCTTGTCTGAAGGAAAGAGAGGTGGAGGCGAGGGAGTACCCCTTCTTCCAAGATACAACTGCAACAAAAATGCACTGTCCCTTCAACACTGTCTCACTTGAGGGAAGGCCAGAGGGATGATGGTGTGCCATTCTTCAGAAATGTTTTTGCGGAAAACAGCTCTCCTTCCCTCCTATCACAATCAGTTGGAAGGGACTGAAGGCCTTGGCTTCGAGCCCTATGGTTTTATTTAAATAAAAAAATTCAACCTAAAAAAAAAATTCAACCTATAAAGTTTCCAGGCTTTGTGTACAAACCTTAGCTACAAGCTGACTTTGCCCTAGGACTGGCTCACTTTGCCCTAGGACTGGCTGCAAAATCAACAGAGCAAGCACTGCCAGATGCCATTGCTCAGACAATAGGCTCAGACAAGATGTCAGCCAGCTGATGGGGTTTCTATCTTCCCATCTTAAAACCTGACACAGAAATGTACTGTATGCACCCCACATGCTGTGTGGAGGGCACTGCATTACACATGTCCTGCATGTACCCAATACACTTCCCTGCAGGAAATAACAAGAAATTTGCAGGAATAGATCTGCATGTGGACACACAGTGAAAAACACTCATCCAGTTGTCACATACAGATGTGGCCCCCAGGTGTTGCTGGACTGCAGACCACATCAGCCCTGGCTGGCATAGCTGAAGGGAGCTGTGGGTGTCTACCCTTGATCTCTGTGGAGGCTCCATGCTTTATTCTTTAAGGAGGTGCTCTGCACCCCACCGTGCCGTGTCAAAGGGCACAGGTGGTCACTTCCTTTAGGCAAAAAAGCTTCCACAAGAGAGTGAAGGACCGCCAACACTCCTCCTGGAACTCCCCATCCCTGGCTACTTTTCCTGCACAGTATTCAAGGCATGTTTGCCTGCACGATCTCATGGAAGAAAACCACAGGGGTCGGGGGAGGAGAGGATGACAGGGAAGCAACCCTCTGCTGCCACTTCTGTAGACCAAACTGTACCCTCCCCAAGCTGTTGCCTGGGTTTTGTTAGTCATATCCCTGTGCAAGACACATTTCTGCTCCTGGAGAACATCTAATCACCAGGGCAAGTGAGCAGTCCGAAGAAGCCCTGTTGGGTGCCATAGATAAAAAATAAAATTTTGCAGGGGGTGGGAGATGCAGGGCGCCACAAGACTAGAGCAGCCAAAATACTTTTGAGCACTGAAGGACATTTATACAACTTTGTGTGAGTGAAGATAAGAAGCTATTGATTAAGAATTGCTTGGGACAGACAGTACAGAATTTCCTTCTGCATAGCAAAGGGCATCTGGATTGTTCTGCATTAATCATTGTACCATTACTCGATCACTGCAAACAACAATGCTGCAGGTGACCTTGGCCACCAGAAGGGAGTTGGCCTGCAGTGAACATCCACTAACTCTGGTTCCATCCCTGTCTCCCCAGAGGTGATGGTGAAGTTACTGCAGCTCTCAGCAGAAAGCAGCTAGTTCCGCAATGACAAGGCAGGGAGGGAGACAAGACAGTGCTGTGCATCTCGAGCAGCCGATGCATCAGTCACCAGCTCACGTTCCACCTACTAAGGAAGAGTCAGAGTCAGCAAAAAAAGCAAACACAAACCACCCTCTGCTCCTGGGACCACGGAGCTCCCACACCCTGTTGCAGCAGCAGAAGCTACAGCGATGAAGTCGCCTTGTATGGATGAAGCGCTTTGGCAGAAGCCTGAGAAGAATGCTTTAGTTAATACATTCTGTTCTGCTGCAGGATGAATTTCACTGCTTTCTGTCTACCAGAAACAGCTCCACTGTGGGTGGTACACTCCTATGAGGAAGAAAGAGCAAGGCCGGTATTGATTAAAGAGCAAGTTTGCTCTGTGTGTGTGCGCACACACGTGCCTGTAAGGGGAGAGTCACGTGGCCAATGCAGAAGCAGACCATTGTTGAAAGCGCGTGTGCGAGAGAGAGAGAGAGACCTGTTCCGCAAACTTCCTGAGGAAGTATCTATTTCAGCATATGAAGGTGCCTCTCCCTAACCAGCAGTAGGTATACTCAGAGCCATGAAGTCAACTTGTTGGCAAGAGAGCATGAAGCCCAAAGGCTGGTTTCCTGGACTGGGCCCATTGTGGGGAAAAGAACATACCCGCTCCTCAGAACGGATGAAGTACCGCAGATCTCCATGCTTCATGTATGGCAGCACCACCAGGGGGAGTCCTTCCTTGGGAAGGGTGATCCCAATGAGGGAGAGGACATGGTGATGAGAAAAGCTTTTCATCAGAATCCCCTCTTTCAGAAACTCTTCTACCTCCTCCAAATCCGTGATCCCTATGAAAAAAAGAAAGGCATCTGTGTAAATACACAGAAGCTACTGCCGCAAGACTGAAGATATGGTGAAATTATTAGGAAATAGGTTACTGGAATGAAGGCAGGTCCAGTCAAACACAAAGGCCACAGCAGCCTTTCTGGGTGGCTGAAATAGCTCACTGGAATGTGCGAAGGATGCACTAGCGAGCTAGCCTTAACCCATGACTGTCCAGTTGCCACTGCAGCTGTCTCCAGCATGGTGCCCTGCAGCTGGCACTCCCCCGCTGGCTGGGGCAGAGGGGAATTGGTATGAAACTGAAATAGGGGACCAGGCTGAGGGAGGATGCTGTAGAAATCAAGCAGGGAAAGGCTGCCTGAAGAAGAAATCTGCCCCACACTGTATCAAGTTAGCAGTTTCTTTTCCAAGCTCCAATGAACGTTGTTGTTTCTGTTGTTATTTATTTAATTTCTATTCCACCCCACAGCTGAAGCTCCCTGGGCAGTTCTGTTTAGAAGGAAAAGCCTTGCCAGCCAGCACTCAAGAGCAACAGCGTCCTGAGGACGATTGGCTGCATTGGAGGTCTGGTACGCCTCTGTCTCTTGAGAGGATCAGGAAGCAACACAGAGGCTGGCTAGAGAGCAGCCCTCCCTCCTCCAGCCTTCCCCACCCCATCTAGGCTCTTTGCTGCAGTGAATGTCCCCAGGGAAGCTTTTAACAGCATATCTTAGGAGCACTCAGTAGCCGACTAAGGTTGAGTGATGTCAATCTTCTTCTTCCACTCCCAAATGTGTTTCACAGTTATTTGCACCTACTTTGAGTGGAGCAGCACTGCGAAGGGGCACCAAAACTTTGCAGTAGAAAATGGCACTTAAGCTAATGGTGCCTCCTTGTACCATGTCACCAGCTGAGTAGAAGGAGAATGCAGTTCTCCCTGCCCTCCAGGTTAAGGAACCATTTTTAAGGAACTATCTAAGGCTTTTAAAGTGTTGTACCTACACTAGCTTTGGCCCAGTTGCAGATGCGTAACACACTTCGCTGGAGAACAGGGGCAGAACTGCCATCTCACAAGGTTATTCTTAAAATAACAACCTTTGTGCAAGCCATGCTCTCCTAGCCAGAAGGCAGGCATGATACATGTCCTTCAAATTTCTTAAAAATGGTAACAGTGGGGCATTACTTTATTGCTAGTGGGGAAGAATGGTCAGGAATGGATCTTGGGTCCCTTGGGCTTCCTTTTCCAGGCCAGTAAGCGCAGTCACCAGGACTATGAGAGGAGCAGGGGATTACTCACGGTTCAGGGATTTAACAGCACAGCGTATCTCTCTCTGGGATGCATCTATGTATGTTCCATGATAAACACTCCCAAAGTGCCCTGAATAAGAAAAGAAACAAGCAGCATCTATGTCGGTCCATAAATCAGCACATCCAGCAGAATCCGCTCCCTTGAGATTCTGTGTCAGCCTGCAGTTAGAAGGCTGAAAAGTTCTCAATGCCAGCATAATATTAGTAGGTAACACAAACCATTTCTGTGGTGGAAGCAATAGGACATAAAAGGGAGCAAAACTTGTCACTTTCACCAGGCTAATACTTCAGAACCTCCACCAGTACTTGGCCCAATAAAGGGTTCACTTCACCTGTTCTTATTTCAAAACCCATGTGGGAAGAAGAGGCGCACACAGAGCCATGATCAAGGCGTATGACCGGCACTCCCACGTGCTGCATTTCTGGACTGGCCAGTACCACTTCAGACTGCAGATGGGGGGTACGCTGCATGTCCTAGATCTTAATGGAAACTAACAAGTTTCCATTCTAGAGCATGGTCTTGTCTTGTCACAGATTTTGGATGTGTGTGTCCAGATGGTTGTTTCCCACATTCAGCCTGTATTCAGTAACCAATATGTGTCACCAGAATGCAGAAGGTTTAGTCAAACTATGGAATTCACTTCCAGAAGACGTGGTGATGGCTGCTAATTTGGACAGCCAAGAGGACTTGACAAATTCATGGAAGAGAAGGCTATTCATGGCTTAGTCCTGATGGTCATTTGCTAACTGCAGTGTCATTGGCAGTATGCCCATGTATACCAATCGCTGGGGAAACTGGGTGGGCAGGTGCTCTTGCACTCATTCCCTTCTTGTGGGATCCTGTGAATAGCTGGCTGGCTACTGTGGGAGCAGAATGATGGACTAGATTCTTGCTTGGTCTGATCCAGCAGGGCTCTTCTCATGTTACGTAGCAGAAGTGACACATTATGTGCAAGAAGATCATGCAGAAGAATAAAAGCAGTAACATAATCCAAATATTTTAGATACATAAATTTATATTGCTCAAAATAAAAAATACAGTATTTCAAGAACGGCAAGGAATGGTTATTAGATTTAGACAGAAATGTAAGAACAAATGCAGAGGTCCAAAATTAATGAAAAAACCTCCAAACACTGAAGAGTATACCAAATAAGTTTCAGTATTAAGTCAGCTACTGAACTCACTGCAATTTGAGACTGATTTGTGGGAGAAGGTTAGAATGTAACATCGAAACTGAAACATTCTGATATAAAAGTTAGAATAAACTAAAATTTGGTCTGAACTTAAAGTGAAAGCATTCAGGATTATTTTTTGGGATGGCATTGTTCCATTATAATTTAAACGTGGAAGGAATGAGAAACTCTGAGAGATTAAAAGATTTCAATGTTTCTCAACATTTTTCCTTATTGACTGTGAACTTCCAGATCAAAACCTAAGCAAAAGTAACAATGTATTAAGAGGTAAACAAGCAATACCAAGCAATGGTGAGGAAATGGATGGTGAAGAGTTTCTATAGCCCCAGTAATTCTAAATCAAGTATTTACACAGACTAAATATTAAGAAACTCTGGGACAAGGAAACCCCCTTTGGCTACGTTTTGATGTATTAGTTATCGATTACACTGACATTCGGGTTCCCTGAGAGCCGGAGAATGTGGGAAAAGGCCAGGGAAACAGCACAGGATGACCCAGGGTGGTGTCACATACTTTTTGTCCCTTCAACACTGGTCACGTTTTTCTGAAGTGCCAGACAAGGCTAAACACTTCATAAACGCTAATCAAGCACCACCCCTGCTGGACTGGTATCAGCCTCCTTTTCTAGGGTTCCTCTACCAGAGGGGCTTAACCTTCTGCTTTACTGAGGCTCCTTCTTCCCTTTCATCATGGGAAGAAATGTGTGCCCTTTACAGATCCCCCCACCACAATATGCTATTATTTTATTATCCAGCCATGAAGTGGTACTCTGATATAGCTGCAGTATTGCAGAACTGGAACCTAGAGAAGGATTTTGCTGCTGTTTGCCCAGATTTGAAATGTAATAGCTGACTTTACTCACAAGAAACTCTGCAAAAATGGCTGGAAAACATGGGAGAGGCACTGGAGGATGAGTACTTCATGAGAAGTCTCTGCAAACTTCCATGAGTGAGGGAACATGAGCACACAATACATGTCTCAACTAAAGGCGTGCGGTAATTTGAACAGCACTGTGAAGGCAGGATTGACAATACCAGAAGCATCTGCAGACCTCATGCTCCCTGTAGCGCTTCTGCCCTGCTTCCAGGCATGCAAGGATGCCCACAGGTTGGAAGGAGGGAAGAAACAGAGATGCACAGGGGGCTAAGGGTAAACTTGCCTACACAGAGAAAAATCATACCTTACTGGGCTTTTGGTTTGTGATTATAATTACACCTGGTTAACTAAAAGAAAATGTACAAAGCATCTGATCAAACATGACTATGACCACAAGAATAAAAGCAGGAAGAGGAGGGAGACCTGAGAATTTCTGGGTCAGGAATGGGGGATTTAGCCCATGGAGCAAAGTTAACAGATTATGTGTTTTATCTACTGGAAGGTAGCAAATTGAAATTTACTCTCCTTGGTAGTAGGTAAATAGCAAGTCTTTCACTTGTTGCTGTTCTTAAACTTTTTACTTGTGAGTTTGAAAACTCTTGCCCATATATCAGCATCACCCAAAGATCTAACAGTGGATGTTACTCTACCTTCTGCCCACTCTAGTTTCACTATATTCATTATCAAAATGAATTTAACAATGTTGTGAACATCAATCCATTCCATTTTGATCTAAATGTTGATGACAAAATGATCTTTTAAAAAAATAAATTACAGACCAGAATAACTAATAATCCTAGTCATCTTGACTAGATCCAGAAGGCAGGAGAACAGTTTCTAGCAGTTTCAATCTTTTCAGGATACTTGCGTTAAATAAATAGTTGTTGTGAAACTTGAACCACTGACATGAACTTTGCAGCATGGTTGGAATGCATGTGAAATATGGAAATGTTGAAACAACCAAGGGCTGGTTTAATTTAAAAAACCAGCTGACTGGATCTTGGTAATTGTTTTCAATTATATAACTGGCATGATGGTAAGCAATTCTTCTTGCCATCTATTCAAAAAGAAACAAATAGCTAAAACGGCACTAAAACACCCTTGTTGGGTACTAAAACAAGTAATCAATGTTTCTACTTTTAAAGATCAGTATCAAATAGATATTTGGCTGTCGGTATGGGAAAAGACTTTTTAAGCTGATGCATGTAGCTGTTAAATCCCACTCTAGAACAAAAAGAGAGCCCCTGTTTAAGGATCTGAATCAGTCTTTCAACCCTTCACTTTGCTCAGATTCCCCTTGGCTTGAGACCTGAGTTCTCAAAGTTTATTTAGCAGTATACATGATTTAGTTTTAGTCCCTGAACCCGGAATGCTCTGAACCCGGAATGCTCTTAATATCCTAAACTCCAGATTCCTTGTGCATGTGAAACAGGCTTAAGGACATGAGTTGTAATGACCCTTGTTCAAATGTCACTCCCATCATGAACCCACTGGGGGTGCTTATTGTGCAATTGCTTTCCCACATTTTCCTGCCACTTCTTTTGTCCTTTTACTCTCACATCAGGAAAAGTGTGCTATGGAGGGAAATTCAGAATAACAGTACAATCCCTTTTAACTGGTAGTGCTAAAACCTTCTGAATGGAAGCACCCAAAGCTGCCCTTGAAGTTACCATCTTTTGGTCCTGATCTCACAGAACTAAACCACCATCCTGTTTTCTGAGCATCTCAGAAAACAGGATAAAAATCACACACACACAAGCACATACACACAGGAACAGAACAGTGAAAACTTTAGATGCAGCACAGGCTGAGGCCAGACCCAAAAGTACATTTGGGTGAATTTTTCTTGAGAAATTACCTGGTTCTTGCTGCCAGGTTCTTCTGCTCAAGATATTGCAACCTTGTCAGGAACCGTGCGCTTATTTATTGCCTGGCTTCTTTTCCATTTGCATTCAAATGCTACTTATTCAGAGAAATGAGACAGACTTCCCACATATTATCGCTGGTGATGCAGGGAAGGGTAGTGTACCGGGATCAACAAATGGGAGACATCATGAGGATGAATTAGCACGGACTGTTCCCAGTGTCCAGCACAGGCCTTCGGTGCAGTCTTAAGAGCACTGGGTATTTGCTAGGTTTATCTGCTGTGAGAAATCTGCAGGGTGGCAAGGGAATGTCTGTTACTTCTTTCCTCATCCCTGAGATAAGAATGTTTACTGAAATTAACTGGCATTTCCAGGACTCCTCTTGCCCTCCCTCCTCTTTTCCACTAGCAGGTTTCCACTGTTTCTAGCAGCTTCTGGCACTCTGGAATTTAGGGACAGCAACACGATCCATCATGCGTTAGCAGATGCTTTGGCTTTCAGCTTGGGACAAGGACACGCTAGTATCTAAGCTGCTTAGGTGTCAAGAGGAACACCCATCCCTCCAAGACGCCCTGTGACTGAAGGGATGTGTGATGGCTTATTTTTGCTCGCTTACTGACAATACACATCCTTATTCCAACTTTGCATTCAGCAGCATGCATATCATCTTTCACACACATGCTCTTCTTGTCTCTTCCAAAGTGAATTCATTTTGGTTGGACCAGGACCCCTGCATAAGACAGTGAGAAGAGCTACCACTTGTAGTTTTGACTGGGTAAGAAGTTGTTTCATGTGTTTTTGAGAGAACTGATCCAACTTGCATCCCCCAGTACTGAACAGAATCTGCAGTCCAAAGTTTGTGCATTTCTGAGACTGAAAGGTGATTTGCAAAGTGGGAAACATGCTTCAGAAAATGCATACATTTGAAAAATGCACATAATTGATGCATACATTTGGGTAAACGTGCAGCAAAGGATGCACTCATTTTCATGCAGAACAGCCCACAACCTTACAATCTAATATGAGCATGAGTCAGAACAAGCATTGAAGCAGAAGTTAGAGAATGCTGATGAGCTCAATTTGCAATTCACACTTTATAAAATGTAAAATGCTTTTTCTCTCTAACAGGCCCAATGAAATTCATGCTCTAAGCAGCAGCCAAGGGATCGCTCAGGAGAGAGAAACAGTTTACACCTGTGGAAACACCTGGCTGAGAAGGAATGGCATGTTGTAAGACGCCTTCGGTAAGGAGGCTCTGCACGCTGTGGCAGATGGTCACAGCGTAACCTCAGCAGCACTCACCTTTACCAATGATCTGGTCATGGTGAACAATCAGTTGCTCTTCTGGGATCAGAACATCTTTCACCTCTTCCAAGAGTTGTGGCCGAAAATTTTTGATGGAGTAAGAAGGAATCCGCATGAAGGGCATGGTAGAGCCATCACTGCTACCTGTGTAAGAGACACTTCCAAGACGTGCTCCTGAAGACCCAGTGTTTGGAGTCCCTGCCCAGAGAAAGCCATCAAGGAATGGTAAGAAAACATTGACATTAGGTGGGTATGAGTAAAAACTAATCACTGTTCAGCCTGCATCTCCTGTTCGTCAGTCTGTTCTAGTCGCTTGGCAATATTATTTTCTCACATTATAACAGAATGTCACAGTTCCTCCCAACCAAAGCAGGAATGGGGGCAAAAATACAGTCATGGGATGGTGGAAATACCATGCACAGCAGCTGTGTTTTTATAGAAACATTTTCAGCAAACTGTTCCAGGTGTGGAGAAGGTGATGGAGTCTTGACATCAACCTGAGGCACCAAAAGCTCCACCTGACCAAGGAAGCTGCCCCTGCCAGGAAACCCATGCTGACGGCTAGCACACATTTGTCTCATTTTATTCATAGGTCTCTAGCCAGGCTTTTCCCAAACACCGATGGTTACTATAAATGTTTAAGACATCCTTACCAGCAGCATCCGTATAGCCACTAGAGGAGGGAAGGAGAGGGATGCTTGTCACACGCCCATTCAGGCTTGAAAGCCTTTCCAGGTTTTCTGTCCCTGCAAGCACAAGACAATCAGCCTACCAAAAAGCACTCCATCCATGCTCAGCTGCCCCACCCCACCCCTCCACAACCACAACCACCTTGTGAGTCCAGCTATGGAGACCAACTCGATACGGGACATTTCTCTGATCAGGCTTCATAGTTATATGCAGATCAGTGTGATAGTAAAACAGTGGAGAAATGCAGCCGAGCAAACTGTTGCTCAAAACCTTCCTCTGATAGGAAAGTAGGATGAGGAGCTGGCAGTTACCTGTGGTCTTTTTCCGCTGCACGTGCTTCTTCAGTAAAAATGCCAAGAGGCAGAGGAACAGGATGGCTGCAATGGTCCCCAAGATAGCAGCAACAGGGGAGAAGGAAGAGGTCACAATCACAGTGCCTAGGTCTGTGCAGTTTTCATTCACACAAATCTAAAAGGAAGAACAGACACGTTGGAAGAGGGTCACCAAGGATGCAAGAACGACGACAGCCGAGAGCCAGCAATCCGGCCACAGGCTCTGAACAGCAAGATCATTCTGTTACTGCACACAGTGCTGGACTTGCTGGTTGGACAAAGAGGAAGTGACCCAGACATCCCAGTGTGCCTAGAAACCTGGAGGACAATTGTGTGGACTGCACTCGAAATGTCAAGGCTTTGGGGCACGAATTGCCTGTAAGGATACAGCTGGAGGTATGCCAAGTCTGCTGTGGCGGCGTTTTGGACGGCTGCTCCGGGAATCCACCTGTTTGGTCTGTTCCCTACCAGCAGGGGAATAATGGGAACAGATGCAGGAAGAGGGAAGGGTGTAAGAGATCAGGCAAAAGGAGCAGCGGAGGGCTGTCTTCGTGTGGGATTCCTTAACATCGGACTGACACAAACAGCGTATTTGCTTAGATTGCAATGCTCTTGGAGGCTGAGTGCAATGCACACCAGGGTCAAGATGGGAGAATAACAGTTCAGCAGCCGGATATATAGCAGAGAGAGGTGTCCATTACCCCTTGGAGAAAAAGCCATTGCAGGGTGAGGGACTGGTTTTGAGTGCACAAACAGTGGGAAGGAAAGTGTTAAATAGTTCTTCCCTCCCACAACCTGAAGGCATGCACAGCTGCTTCATATCATTATATCACTACAACAAAACTAAGCATAAGGTGCCATTCCATCCATTGAATATACAGAAGGAACAGGGACAGACCGTCCTTTATTGGTTAAGACCACAAGTACCTGCCTCCTTCTTTAGCAGTGCTTAATAGGTTATGGGCAAAAATGAACAAGCAAAAACGTAAAAGCAATTTGCAGCTCTGGAATGTGCAGCCAGACAAATGTGAAGAATGCACAGGCATTCCAGAGCTGGCCTACAGCAATGTCTCTGAGAGCAGAAAGCACCAGACTAGGGATTACTGATCCAAGGACAGCCTTTGCAGCCAAACTGGGTGTGTCCTTGCAAATTTGGCCAGCCAGGATGTGGGTGGTGAAGTAATACAAAGACAGATGCCAGAACTGTTTTTCCGCATGTAAATAAGTGCAGAGAAGCCAAAGCACTGGAAGCAATTATCCACCTCCAAGTGCATTGGTTTGCCCCCAAAGAGATTTTCACTGAATCCTCTCCACCTGACCCATTCTCACCCCCGTGTCTGGGATTGATGAGGATACACAAAACGAGGTCAGGAAAGAGTGCTGGTGAATTCCAGAATGGAAAAAGAATTTCCAAATGATGAATGAGTCTCTGGATCATGCCAAAGGAAGCCAGAAATATTACCCAATGTTCCTTTATAAAAATATATCTTTGGCTTCTTTGGTTTGGGAACAGCAGGCATTTCTCTTAAAACTGTTCTCAGAATTCAGGCTGCTTCAAGCCGAAATGTTACTAAAAAGGCCAGATGCTACAGTGGTGCTCACCAAATGTAGCCCAAGATGACGTAGGATGAAACTTCTACGCTATTGAGCTTAAATGAACTTCCCCTGGTGCCACGTCACCCTTAGCTGTTTCCTTCACAGCTTATTGAACATATACTATGGAATGTCCTCTATATTTAAAAACACGTAGAAGTTAGTGGGCAGTAACTTGCCGGAATCAGAACTGATGGAGTTGCTGGTGGATGGGTTGTGGCATTCCAGGTGATTCATGATTTCCACACACAGGAAGAGACAACCTAGCCAATGACCAAAGGGGAAGAACTGTAGCTATACCTTTGCTTGCAAATCAGTCAAAGGGCCGTCAGACTTGGGGATGTGACAGGTCACCACATTCTTCAGCACATGGGGGTGGCAATTTATGCCACCTATAGTCACAGAGATATCCATGCATTCTGCCAGAGCATCGAGTCCTGTATGCTGTACAAAGAAAAAAACGTAATTGCCTGATTAAGGGAAAATATTATTCTCACTCTACTGCAACAGTTTCCACTAGACTTATGCCTACATCCCACTTGGTGTCTTAAATATTCCTGCTTTGAATTCACACACACACACACCTGCAAGAACCTCCCTGCCTGCTAGGTTCTGCTAGTGCTTTACCATCTTTATTATGGCCCATCTGCTTGTCCTAGAGCTGAAGAGATCTCTCGCCACCACCCTTACCATTAGTACGCACTCATGGGGAAACTACAGCCCTTTAGAATCCTGTTCCCCTCACTGTCTTAAATGGGACCCTCTTCATGATACACCATTTTCTTGCTGCTGTTAATTGTTTGCTCTGATGTGAATGAATATCAACAAACGAATGAGTGCCACATTTGAGCAGAATGATTCAGGAGAAGCTTATAATCACAGATGTTAGAGCAGCTTTGGTGAACAGAGATTTCTAGGTTTCCAGAAAACCACCCTTCACCCCATCCTGCTTTCAAATATTGTTGCTATGTCCTCTGGGGCTAACAGGGCTTTCTCAGTGGTGGCATCTCATCCCTACCTTTAGATTACTTACGTTTCATTTTCCTGCTGATCTTACATTCTATATTATTTTTATACTTGCTGCTAGTTTTAGCTTAGTTTGTTCATAGGTTGTTTTTAATCCATATTTATTGCTTGCATTTTATAGCTTTAATCTATCTGTGCACCACCCAGAGAACTCTAGTATTTGGGTGGTTTAAAAGAACAGTAAATAAGTAAAACCACTTCCTCAAAAGTACATCCTGCTGTGTTCAATGGAGCTTGGTCCCAGATAAGTGTGCACAGAACTGCAGCCTGTGTTTCTCTGAGGTTCATGTGAGCACTCATGTAAGTAGATATTCACACACATCATTGCCAGGCTCACAACGTACAAATTCCCAATTTGCAGTCCTCTCCCTCAAAGTGAGCTGGTAGGGAACCTCATTACATACTTTGATTTCAATCTCATCCTTTCCTTGATTGAGCCTGTAGAATTTGCCTTCAAGATCAAAAGGGTGAATCACAGGCTTTGGGTAGTAGCGGAACACTTCGTGGCCTACAATCCCATCCATCAAAATGCTCAGGTTCCCAAGAATACTTTCCTCCTTCTTTGGAAATGGGTAATCAGGAGTTAGACACACGAGCTTTTCTGCAGACGGATGACTTTCACAGACCTGAAGGAATCACAGTAGAAATTGAGCCATTTGAATTAAGAAAATAACTTCATCTGGCTTGATTTTTTCCATCCGATTGATGCTGAAATGTGGAATTTGGTTCATGTGTCCACATCACTGAAACAAGGGTAAACCAATTGGAAAGGATGGCAAAAATGCTGTAAGGGTAGAATTCAGGGGCTGGGGAATGTTCTGTAGGACTTCCTTCCCTCTGTTTTGATCTATTGCCAGTAATTTCATTGACTTGCTCGACACTACTACTACAGTGAAATTGTATGTGTTTGTTGTTATTTGTAGTTTGTGAATATAGTAAGCTGGAATTGCGCTCTCCTGCTCTCTCTCTCTCTCTCTCTCTCTCTCTCTCTCTCTCTGGCTGAAGTCATGCATACTGTGAACAAAAGAAGGGGCCTGGATTTCTGAGACTTTACATCCCATTAGAAGAAACTGGGAAAGAGCAGGGATTTCCTTCTCTCAAAGGCTCACCCGATATTTTGTTGTATTTTATGGTTCGTAAACTGCCCCAAGAGCTGTGTATAAAGTTGGGATGGACTGTCTGAAATCTGTCAGAATATTTCCGGACTACAAAATTCAATGATAAGGAGTCTGTCAACCGCAGTCCTTCCCCACCCCTTTTAAATCCAAACCAAGGTCTAGATTTCCAAGGCTCAAAAGACTGGGTTTCTACAACCAACACAGTATTCTATAACATGTCATAGTTCATGTTCTCTTTTTTTCTCTGCCCCTTCAATTTACCACAAGAGGGCAAGGTAAACATCAGCCAGGACATAAATTCATCACAAGGTGAGTGATGTGAATTGTTGAACAGCATCGGCACAATCCCCACAAGTCTAATTATTTGGATGAGGCCAAACTTTTACAGTAAGCAGAACCAAAAGCAAATTCATTTAAGGCAAAGGGGATTTTAGAAATTACTATGAGAAATAAAAATAAAGACCAAAAACGCATTTGAAATGAGAGAGGAAAAGTAAAACTGAATAACATGTAAGACCTCTGGGAAAAATACCATGTTACATAGTACTCTGTCCAGAAGAGGAACATTCATCCTGAGGATAAAACCAAAACAAAACACAATCCATGAACCTGCTTTCAGCGGCAGCTAGGTGCCCCTCTAGGTTTATGCTTTCACATGAATGGAAGAAAATAGCTGTAAATATTTCAGAATCCTCTCACCCTTTCACCCATAAGAAGAGAGCTGCCCACCCACCACAGGAGGGAGAAACGGCCTTGAAAAAACTTGGCTTCTACCCATCCAGGTTACTGAGCTGAATGGCTGGGACCGCTGCATAACTTCAGCCCCAGAGACTCTTCAGCCCAAGTAGAATCTGCTGATGGGGAGAGGAACTAGAACTTCAGCTGCTCCACCTCTGCAATGCAGAGGGTAAAATCCTGCAGCAGGATGTCTGTTCTGCTTGCGTAGACTCCACATCTAATTTAGAACCCTGGAAGATCAGGGCTGCGATTTGCCTAGGGAACACACAAAAGCAGAGCAGGACTGAAATCTGCAGGGAAAAAATAACTGAATTGGAAAAGCCAGACTTCCTTGTATCAGCACATCCCTGTCTGCAACCTTCCACAATATGGGCCAGGCCCAGCTAGAGGAAGTGAGCAAATTAAGGGGAAGATGGTGTGAGAGTTCATCAAGCTCCCTTAGGAGTGGCCGCCCACCTCCCAAAACATGCACAGGATCAAACTGTTAATGTTGGGGAGTGAAGGTACTGTAAAACTCTCTGCTTTTGCCATCAAAGGCTGGAAAAGAGCTGAAAGGAGAGTTGGTTGACTGTCACATCATGAGGACAGTCCTTCCAGATTTCATCCCTACTCAGTGGCAGCTACCAAAAGTGGCATGGAGGGGCAATTTGCCAGATTCCCAGCTTCTTCTTCTTTGCATGAAAAAATAGCCTCTATAACCCAAGATATGAGGCATTATTCTACCTATTCATTTAGTGAGAGATTAACATGCTCCCATGCTTCAGTGCTTTTAGCCAATGCATGTAGTCACCACAATGTTTTACATACCCCGCTGGGTTAGGAACTAACTGCAGCCTCATTAAAAAAACAATTTCGAAATACTTGTGTTTCCTATAGCCGAGTTTGGGCACTCCCTACAAAAGGTAACAGAAACTACAGTTCATAATTTTTCTAACTCAGGTCCTGTTATTCTTTTCTCAGTTTATGAGCATTTAAGTCTCTAAAACAAGTGCATGCAGAAAGAGCTTCTACCTGGCTCCCCAATACAAGTGAAATGATCTTCAGGAAATGTGGGAAAGGCTAAGAGGGAAAAATTCCGGGCAGTACCAGGAGTCCTTCTTTTTCGGACTGACTTTTAGCAGCTGGTACCTGCAGGATTGTTGGTGGGATACAGCACTCTATATGTGTAGTGCAAACCTAGGCACATACAGGTTCCATTCTCTCCCCATGGGAATACTCACAGTAGCTTTAGATCGCACTCTGGCAGAAGTGAATTGCACCCTTGTGGTATTTACTGAATTCAAATTGATGCCAGAGATGAATATACTTGAACCCCTGCAAAAAAAATAAGATGTTTGTGAAATAAAGGCAAAGATTTATTTTCTACACCAAGAGATCTTGCAGGTAGGTACCTGCAACTGGACATTAAGGCACAGGAAACCAGTAGCAGTTCTCAGTTCTTCATGTTACAGACATTCAGACCCGTGCAGACAAGTCAAAACTACCATGTCTCAAGTTTTATTTTGCAAGCCTTCACACACTTACATGGCAGCAAGTTCTACTGAATGCAATGGGATTTGCTTCTGTGTAGACCCAGCAAGGATTGAACTTAGTCCCCTTAGTTAGGCTAAATGAGACACTTACATATAATCTTATATGCCTTTATTAAGAAGTAAGCCCCACTATGTGCAATGATAATTACGTCCTGCAAAAGCCTTAATGCCTTTGGAACAGAGAAACTTTCTTTAGTGATCCACATGCTGCAAACAGTCTCAGAGCGGAGATGCAAAGAAGCACAGCACACATATGGGACTCTCTCTCAGTAATGAGGGTGCAGTTGAAAAAGCAGGCTCACTCGTAGCTGCAGTTGGGGGAGATGGACTTTATCTGAGGATCTTCTCGATACTGGAAATGCTGTGGAGAAAGAAACTGCTCCCCATCTATTACTACAGCCACAGATGCTTCAGTCACATTGCTTGCAGAAGGGGTGGAACAAATTATGGTATTCTCTTGCTGGCTGAGAAAAGAAGACAAACAGCATGACAGGGACTCTTTCAAGCTCCTTTCCTAAGGCTTAGCTACTGCAGTAAGAGCTTTAAGTTAAACTATGGGGGTATCTTTGGCCTGCCCCTTCTGCCTTTTGCCTTTGGCCTGGCCAGTCACTGGAATGTAGCTCCTAAAGGTTTCTCCAAAACAGAATGCAGCCCCTGGTTCTACACCTCCTAAGAAATCCTCATTCCTTTTGAGAAATATGTAAATCTAGTGAGTTAAATTGGGCTATTCTCTCCCTATAGGCAGGAACTGGATGACATGAAACAATTGTCCCTAAATTGTGAGCTTCCCAAGCTTTAGGGGAGTGCCTTGTGGTCTCCAGATGCTTTGGTCTACAAATCCCATCATCCTTCAAAATACTACTCAGATCACTTGCTTTTATTATTGAAACTCATTAGAAGAGCGAGATAGGGGAATAGCCGACCACCATTTTGCATTCCACACAGGAAAACATTGTTTCATCATCAAATGCCAGAAGGGTATTTCTGGCAACTTAGAACCTGACTGTCTGCATTGATGCGTCCCTGTAATATGGCTGACTTTTCCTAGATATTATATCACTAGAGCTGGAGAGAAAAGAATCCCACTCAAGCCAGCCTAATGAATGCCTGTAACAGGCCCAATTGCCTCATGATTACTACACCATTAGGGAATGAGACAGATTCGATATTTTAATTTAAGCTACTCAGAAGACTGTAAAACACAATTCAATCCTTTTTTACTAAAAGTATGTCTTCATTCAGATTGTAACTCTAGCCATTGTAAAAGGGTTTGGACTCAACTCCAGGTCTGACAAGTCAATGTTATGAGTAAGGTTCTGTGTTTGCCATACCTTTCCTCTCTGACCAGGGGACAATCAAGACCATTAACCATCACTTTCCTTGAACCTCCCACCAGAAGATTTTGTCCTCGGATAAGGATCTCTGTTCCTCCAGCCAGGGGCCCAAACGCAGGGTGGATGGAAGTTATATTTGGCAGCTGTTGAGAACAAACATTTAACTCATTGATCTTAAGGCAAGGACAAGAGATGTCTAGATAAGATGCCACAGGATAGTTCCACATAAAATACTAAAAACCATGGCTATAAAACCAACAGACAAGTCTGGAGGCTGCAAGATTTCCTTCTGGATAAGCAACTGCCTCAAATGACCAACTGCTATCATTTAGCATTCTCAAAGTGATGAACAATAAACTCCAGTTAAATCTAGTGAATAATTACTGGTAAATCCTGACATGTTGTTCCTCTCTCTCTCTCCAGGAAGGTCCAGTAGAGAACCGAGAACTGCAGTGATTCGATGTTCACCGCTTTGCTCCAAGGTGCCTGGGCAGCTCAAGTGTCCTGTGATACTACAGGCAACGGCTTCTGTGGCACATTTCTGGAGGCACTGCTTCCAAAGCTTATTTGAAGAACCAGAGGCACATGGTCAGGGCAGGACTGGTTGGCTGTTTGCCTCACAACTACTCCTACCTTCCACATGAGTAATATCTCAGTCGTGCAGATGAGATGACAGACTTGTAGATGTTTTCTGTTTATTATTCTGCCTTAAGGCAGCTACACGTTTTCCAGCCTGGAGCTGGACTTGTTACATTAGAGAACTCAGAATCTCCAAATTCTCACCAAATTCTAAATTGTACAAACCAAAAACAAATCTATTATTTGAATTTTGCTACATTTCCACATGCCAACTAACATTGCATTATCTCTCCTGTTCAATCCTAGTTTCCAGTTTCAGAGCAAGCACAAATCATAATTTGGCATTCTGGATGAAACAGAAAACTACGATTCAGTTCCCAACCAGGAAAGGAGAAAGAGAACCAGACTGAATAAGAATAAGAAGGCGTACATGAACATGAAAACTCTTTGAAGGGTCATTCATGTTCAGAGCCTAGGAATGTGAGAACAGAGAAAAAACTGTTTTGTCAGTGGTTTCTGGGTCACTAACTTCCATTCCTGATTTGTAGACTCAGAATTTATGCAAAAACATTCAAGTGTCTTTGCACAAATTCACATTCCTGAAAATACATTTTTCACACTTTATCCTATGGAGGGATTTGGACAGTTTTGATTGGTGGGGTTTTTTACATATTTTATGTATCTATTTCTGCACAAAAAATATACAAAATGAAAGAATTGGCCTGCAGGCCCTGTGGATTCCAAATTGCTTGGGAAAACCAGTTCACTGAGAAACACACAAGACATGGTCAGAGAAATCCAGCCTCATTTGAGACAGTGGTGCATTTCTCCAACATCCCTAGCAGAGTGTGCATGAACTGCTGTTTTGGCTTTATGTAGCACTCTGAATAAAAAATAAAGTGATGGCCCTGTAGTAATTCAGCTTAAAACCTGAAGCGCATGCCCCAGGGAAATGCACACTTCTTTGTGTGGAAGCAATTGCAGTCCTGCCGGCAAGTGAAGCAGCACATGAACTGTTGAGAGAAAGTGCCGCCTCTCTGCAAAGACCATCAGTGGATACCAACCGGCCCCAAATCGATGCTACACTAAGATCACAGGAAGCTGCATCATACAGAATCAGACTCTAGGTTCATCCACCCTTGTGTTCTCTGTTCTGGCTGGCAGAGCTCTCCAAGGCTCAGGCGCAGGTGTTTCTGTGACTCATTAAGCAAAGAGTCCAGCTCAGTCCTGGGAATTTACACATGCAGAGACTGTGCTCTGCAGCTGAGCAGCAGTTCCCCTTATCAAGAGCTCATTCCACTGATAAAACTTGCTCCATGGGACAATAGTCTGTGGCCCTCCAGATGTCACAGGATTTCAACTCTCTTCATCCCTTGCCAGCATGGCCAATGCCTAACTGATGATCTGCAACAGCAGGGGGCTGGACCCAGTGGCCCTCTTGGCCCTTTCCAACCCTTCCATTCTATGATACTGTGGGATATGAAAGGAGAAATGTGGATATTTGGCCGTCCCTGCAGAAAACCTCCATCTCACCTCCCTGTTCACTTGTCATCTACAGCAGCCATTCTGGCAGGCTGTTCAGAGGGTGATAAAAGGGAGAAGCAGGACCATTCCACCAGCCCAGCTGAAGGACTTATTTCTCCCTCTATTTTTATTTTATTTTTTCAATTTATATCCTGCCTTTTTCCTACAAAGGGCTCAAGGCAGCTTACATCATTCTCCTCCTCCATCTTATCCCCACAACAACAACCCTGTGGGGTAGGTTGGGCTAAGAGTCTATGACTGGCCCAAAGTCACCCAGTTGGCTCCATGGCTGAGTGGGGACTAGAACCCAGATCCCCTGAGTCCCAGTCCCATGCTCTTAACCACTGCACCACACTGACTCTCTTTTTTTCCCCATCCATTTTCCTTTCTGTGTTATGCCTTTTTAGATTGCAAGCTTGTGGGCAGGCAGGGCCACATCAAAATGTTTTGGTGCCCTAGGCAAGAACCGATTTTTGTCCCCCCACTCCTAACAATGCTACCACTATTTGTTCCTAAACAGCAGCAAACAGATTCATAACTACTGCAGTGTCCTCACTGACTGCACAACCCCCAAGGATAATGAGATGCTTGGTTCAGCTTCACGCATCACACACCGGGGAAAACACTATGACTGAAATTGTGCACGGAGCTACAGCCTAGACTAGTCAATGCAAAGCTTCCCTTCTTTGCATGACAAGCCTTGCCTGGTCACCGTTGCTTCTCCCTGCCTGCCTGGTGGTGACCATCCACTTCAACTGCTCCAGGAATAGCCCTGAGGGTAGGAACAGTCTCGTTTAATTATTTAATGCAAGCCACTCCAGAGGGCTTTTTCAGTGGGGAACCAGGTACAGGTATTTTAAATAACTAGCAGTACCCCCCCCCCGCCCCACCAGATTGGCCATTGGTGCATTAGGATGTTAATTCCCACCCTTGCTCTGTATTAGTTCTCACAGAGTGCCTGCCACAAAGCATCTCTGGCTTTCAGTTGGTCTTTCTGGTGAGTTCTTGCTTCATCAGTGCAGAAGGGCCAAGAGGAAGCATGCAGGTGCTCAAATGCTGGAAAAATTCAACTCACCATAAACACAAACCCTTTTAGGACTGAGGAGCCACTGATATAAAATGGGGTTTTTTTCTTCTCTGAAATGGTAAGATTAATTTTTTGAGGCTCCAACACTTTTTCTTCCCCTTTTGGTGTCAAAATGCAGACAAGAACTTCAACAAAATCCTTCCAGAGTGGTACCTGGCTGTACCTGAAAAGCAGATGGTGATGAAAGAGTGGCAGAAATAGGAATGCGTCAAAGGACAAGAAAAAAAAAACCTGATTATGACCTGCCTAACATAATCTAACAATTCTATGCCACTAACTAGGTTACAGAATTAATTAGAAGGCCAATCTACCTCTATTCTCAGCTGGCCTCAAGAGCAGAAAGTGTGGTTATGGTGCAAGAACTTTGCAGAAGATTAAAGCCCTAGGAGGCGCCATGTGATAACACTGAAGACATTTGACAGCAGGGAAACTGATATGAAATGTTATTTGTTGTTACATTTCAATCCTGTTCTGAGCTCCAAGAAAGCAAAAGGGTATTCATTGACTTTAGCAGCAAGATTCTTGTATGCACATCTGCAGACTGTGGGGTAAACTCTCGGATGGTGGATGTAAAGACATTCCTCTGGCAAGACCTGGCTCCTGCATGCACTGCCTTCTCCACTTCTAGGCAGAGGGCTTCCCCCCTCTGTGGGGCCTGCGGCAGCGAGCCTTGCTCAGATCTAACAAGGAACCCAAGATGGAAAATAGTCTGGACCTACTGGATTATTGTTGGCAGTTCATCATCCCTTGTTTTTCAGATCATCTGGTGGTCCCATGTTAAATGAGGAAAACTCATATTGAAAGAAAGGGCTACCAGTTGTGCCCAGTTGTTGGTTATGTTATCTTGTTTTGTTAAAGTTTGGTAGAATGACTATCTGTCCAGCAAGGTCATGGACGCAAATCTAGCAACTCTTTGTGCTATTAGGGAATGGCAAGAACTGCTGCTTCATTTCCTCTCTGGGAAAGCCGCCAATGTGTAAACTGTGACACACAGCAATGTCTCCTATCTTGGTTTCAACATAATGAGTATAAAGTTGCTCCTACACGGCAATGTAATGCTTATGACATCATCTGGGGACCTCACACGCACAGAAAAATTTATCAGAGGGAACCTTCCAAAATTTCCTATTTTGTCTATAAATGTGTCTGCCTTGATAAATAAATAAAAATGAGCAAATCTGCTCATTAAAAGTACATGCTCCAGGAGTTGCATAATTACACTGTGTGCATCTTTCTTCTTTTTGCAGAAAATTGATTCCTTTCCCCCACAAAGGCCAGGGAAAGATGGTATAAGGGGAAATCAGTTTGTAAGAGAAAGGTGACATGAATTTGGAACTATGTGGACAGCATTGTCCTAAGTGAAGGAGGCCAAGTCCCCTATTGTGGAACTACTATCTCCACAGAATTGCGAACAGTTCTGTAATACTGAAGACTAGAAGTATCTTTTTAAGTACTTAAAAAGCCAGGATTCTGTGGAAAAGCTGGATATCACATTAGACATCTTTTTCTACTCTCTGAAGTACTCTCCGGTATTTCTTGAGAGCTCTAGATAAGTACATTTTAAATAAACACCAATGTTTTATTTATCATTCTCGTCTAATGGTGTTTGGGGAGCAGAGAAGCAAATACAACAGATCATATGAAAGCCATTTAGGCTGAGTGGCACAAAAACTCCAGAGGTGAAAGGGAAGAGACACTGCATCAATGCTCCTGCATACCTACATAGGACACACTTCCATCTTCCTATAGATGTCACTTGGTTGTCCCCACTTTCCCTCAAGGAAACAGAGGCTGAACCACTGCTGGCTTTCTGTTCTTTACTGAAAGACAGCAAACTGTGACAGCACAATCTGGGGCAGGAGGGGAAAGCATCCTTCCATCAGTTCCCCCCCACAGAGCTCATCTGCTGTGGCCAGCAGCAGGGGTAATGACAGCACAATGCTGTTTGTTGTTAGCAAGGACTTCTGGTCTTTAATCTACAAATTCTTCAGTATCATTAGTACATCACTGGTGCACACAGCTATCAAGTACTGAAGGACAAAGATACTCCTTCAAATGGACTGTGGAGGAGAGCTCTCCTGCAGCTCCTCATATACAAAGGAATTGTCTTCAATCTTGCATTCCAACCTGGAATTTAACCCCCTACCCCAGCACAGGGAATTTTATTTAACCCTGGACATTACAGGTCATGCAGCCAGGGGTTACCCTACAACCTAAAAACACAATATTCCATGAAATTAAAACAGACTAATGTTTGATCTAAGTATAATGCTATTAAAGTTACCAAGCACACCATAGTTAACCCACAATTACAGGCCTTACAAGTCTGCCAAAGGGGAAGAAATTCTGTAAGTGAGGAAAAGCACTAAAATACCTTTCCACATAGTATAGGTGCATATATGCATGCAGAGATTTTACAGAAAGACATTATGTGCATGCATGTGTATGAAATTAAATGTAGGATGGAGAAGTGAGAAAGCAAAGTGGAGAGAAGGAAGGGGGACAGAATATGACTTGGCTACAGATTTCACAATCTTTAATTTTCAAATGTTACCTGTTTCTCAGGCTCTCTTCAAGTAGCACAGTGCAGTTCCTCTTCCCCACTGTAATCTGGTAGTCAGCAGAGTTTGCAAGTAGATCATCAGTGCCAGAGAAATAGGGATATGACTGAAACCCCCTGCCACAGAGAGTCAGCTTAGTGCTGCCATACAGTGGTGCATTTCTGGGGTGAAACTATGAAAGCAGAAGAGACAGCAAGAGTTAATTAATCGTTCACAAGCAGAAAGTGATTGGCTCCAATGACCACGGGTCTATTGCTGAAATTCAAAATACCAGTAGAAGCCAGTTATTAGCATTGGACAATGTGACAGGCATACTCTGCACAGAGAAGATATATGGAAGAATGACAAACTTTCCCCAGGCCCTCTCTCTGGTTTATTTTTTTATAAGTCCCAAGTTATGTTTTGCATCATCTAGGCAAATAATGTCAAATTACTTGCTTTGGGTAAGCTCTTACTAGTACCAATGAAGGAAAGTTCAATTAGATGCAAGTAAAAGGTGCATGCAGTCCATATTGTGAACAATAAATGTGAGAGCTGTTGCTGGACACATCCCAGTTAACTACAATTGTCTGGAATCTAGGCTGCGAATTTAAACAGCAACAACCCGCCATGCATAGGTGCTGCTACCAGCTGACATACCCATGCTGAACAAGAGCACTGTCGCATCATCCCTGCAAAATGCCATTTCTGGTGTGTGTGTGTGTGCGCGCGCATGCACGCATGAGAGAGAATGAGAAAGAGAGAGAGAGAGAGATTGAGATTCAACAGTATGACTTGAAGATTTACAATAAGCCTATACTAAGGTCAGGCTGTGTGAATTCACTTGCTCAAGGTCACCCAAATAGTTTCATTGTTGAGCAGAGATTTGTATAGGTTTCTCACATTCAAAATCATACACACATTAGCACCATATCAGTGCACTGTTTGACTTGCATTTATTGCATTTTATGTAAATAAAATGCAACAGCTAAAATTAGGAAACATTTATATTTGAATTTGAGGGTCTCTTTAAAGTTCCTTTTCCATTAATTATTTTTCTAGTTTAAAACATGCAAGAAAAAAGTGACGTTAAGGTTTTAATTGTTGAAATGTGTTTCCTTATTAAGGTGTTTCTCTGGTTCTTTTTCACGTTAAATGTAATCTGGTTTAACTCTTGTGTTAAACTAAGTTACATGCGGGTTAAAGTTTACTTTAGCATGAAGCTGAGTTTGCTCAATATTAACTAATCTTAATTCAAATTAGAGCCACTGATGCAGATAAACCAGAGAGACTATTCTACACTGTTCCTAGCAGTGGCTGCCTCTATATAGCAGTCATTATACAACAAGTCTCCGGGGTATTAGGACAATGTTTTAGACAAACACAGTGGCATGATTCCCAGATACTGCAAACTAAGTATTTGCTGCACAAAAGGCATCCCTGAAGAGCAGCAATTTTAAGTAGTTTTCACATAACAGTTTTTTCAAGGGCAACAGCCTCCCACCAGCTGCAAACCAAAAGGAAAACTGATATCAAGAGTCCAGGAACAGCTCCAGATTGTAGCTGGAAAACGGCAGTTTGTTGGTATTAATGACTGTTGTTTCCTGTGCAACAGAAATACGGTCAGCCATTCCAACGACAGAATATGCAGTATTGAAACAGGCTGCAGTTGCATTTGGCTTGTGAACCTGTATGCCTTAGGTTTAGAAGAACATCTCTCTCTAGAAAAGATAAAGGGAAATTTACTGTTGCACTACACCTTGCTAAAGCAACCCTTGTAGGAAAAAAAACTTTCAGGAAATCAAAACAAACAAACCACCCTCACAGGACGAAGGTAAGAGCAACTATTTCCACAAACACTCGTGGCTGCAAATTCTGTTAATTGTCCCAGTGAAGGGAATGCTGGACGGAGTTTTCCTATGGCTCCCAGGCAATGTCTGAGGAGCCACAGGATAGCTCAGATTCCTGGCTTAGAGCAGGGAGAAAGGGGACAGAGGATAGAAAAATGGAACAGCTAGGATGGGAGTTATCCTGAAGCCACTCCAGCCTCATTTCCTGCACCTATGAAATGCCCTGCTAGACAGGTAAGAAAGCTCATCTAGCAGAAGTGCAAAGCAGGAGGATGGGGAATTGATTGCTCATTTCTGCTGTACCTCCAGTTCTGTACTGGATGCCAGTAAGCCTCTGACTTCAGGGACTTATGGGTGCTAGGACAAGACTGTGCTCGATTTATAAGAACTTATTAAGCAAGGATTTAAGAAAGGTGGCAAAAACTATTAATGCAACTTCCAGGTTGTACAGTTCCGAAGAAAAAGCATGTGTGAGAAAATATAGGCATTACGAGACCCAAGATGATAAATGCAGGCTTTTGACAAACAGAAATGTTAAAACAGGCTTTTCAAAAGAACAATGGAATTAACACCCGAGCACCAAGTGACTCGGAGTGGTTGCTGTGAGCAGCAGCCACCATGCTGGCCCTTGTCAATCTCATATGTAAGGAAAGACCGGCGTACATCAGTAAGGACAGGGGGGCAGCTCTCCTGGTTCCACGTTCCCTGACATTCTTCCTGCTGTGTGCATGAATCTCCACACCAGCCACACTGCATAAAGCGCTCTGCCTTCAGGCAGCTGAGGCATGTCAGGAAATGGCGACAGCCTGGACCAGTCTGGTTAACCTGGAACACCTGCAAGAGGGACATTCAGAGGGTATCAGGAGAATATCAAAGAGACTGGCAGTCTTTCTAACACAATGTCCAGGGGCTCAAAACTATTATTTTATTGTAATGTGTAAATACCTCCCTTTACCCATTTTCCCAGGGTAGTCTGCAGTAGAAACCAAACAAACTATCCTCATACAAGCTCCCATTAATGGGGAGGCCTGAGTTGCCCATCTGTCGTGATCCATGTTTGTAACTTATATCAGGAGACTAAAGGAACAAAACATGCAGGCTTATAATATTTCTGTTTCTAGTGAAGAGCTGCCATTGAATTCAAAGCTCTGTTTTACAGCTGCCTATCTAGAGGCATGTTTTTTCTAATAAAAATGGCTGGATAAAGGAGTTGGCAGCAGAAAATGATGAAATGCTACCTGAAATGTAATGGCATTTCATTGCATTTCATGAGATCATTGAGCAATGACCAAAGAAAAGGTTTGCAAGTTCACCACGTTACTATCAGAAGAAAACAGTAAAACGTCCAATTAGAAGCACTGATTTTCCAGTTAAAGAAATGTAGAAGAAATATATATCCTTAGAACATATGTGGTAGACTGAATGCCTAATGCACTTACAGCACACAGTGGAAATATAACATGCCAGGAAGAACTCAAGCCTAGCTTTCTCCTCAATGTACTATTTCTTTGCATGTAGGGCATTCACACACATTTTCTCCAGTTTGCATTCAGAACTGGCGCTGAAAAGCTCAACTACTAGATTTTGTTAAACATGTATAATCAGATCTAAGATGCTGGATCACAGGATGGAGCAGCTCCACCATTCAGTCCCAGTGTACAATCAAAGCACCTTTGGAAGAGCTGTACCAGAAATAAAGGGATCAGGAATCCTTCCTAGGAACGCTCAAACCAAGTACATTTAGGTTTAAGAGCCCCACACTCCTCACCTTATTTCCTGAGACAAACAACAAAGAGTTGTACAGCTTGCTGACCTCCCGCAGTACTGGCACTCTCTCCCCCAAGGAGAAGTTGGCCAACCTGACTGTGTAGACACTGGATCCTTGAAGCACCACCTTGGAATAAAAGGTAAAAAGGTAATGGTTTCCCCTTGATGTTATGTCCAGTCATGCCTGACTCTAGGGGGTGGTGCCCATCTCCATTTCCTAGCCGAGGGAGCCAGCGTTTGTCCCCAGACAGTCTCCATGGTCGTGTGGCCGGCATGACTAAACATTGAAGTGCACGGAACGCTGCTACCTTCCCACCGGAGTGGTACCTTTTTATCTACTTGCATTTGTATGCTTTTGAACTGCAAGCTTGGCAGGAGCTGGGACAGAGTATAGGAGCTCACCCCATGTGCAGATTCCAATTGCCAGCCTTTCAATCAACCAGCTCAGCAGTTCAGCAGTTTAAACCACTGCGCCACCTGCATCCCGCCTAGGAGTACAGGGTCACAAAACACTCTTCAACAGCTGTTTTCAATGGAGCAGGAAGAGTTGCAGTGAAGTTCCTCAGCTGGTTGACAAAGCACATCAGACTGCTGATTGAAAGCAAGAAGTTGTAACCCCATGTTTCCACAGACTTCTCTGGGTCCCTTCTCTTCTTCTTTGTTCATTAAGAACAATGAATGGTGAAGCAGATGGATGTCACCTTTAATTTGGGCACCAGAATCCATGCTGATCATTCCTATCAACCACAAGTTCACTATTCAGAAACTCCAGTATAAGTCAGAATTACTTCAACAGTGATATATCCTAGCAAAGCATCTATTCTTATAATCTAAATTACTATTTTTGCCTTGCCTAATCATTGTGGCTTCCCACAAGGAACCCGGGGATTATAATTTTGTAACAATGTTGCAAATTCAGTATTTGACATCCCTTGCTCCCTCAGAATTGTCAGGGTTTCTTATATTTTTTTTTAAAATCAGCCAGTTTGCATTTGCAATGCAACAAAATGTAGTACAAGCATTTCCTGATGGATTGGTTTTCAGCTGTGTAGCTTTAAAAATATCACAGGAGAATGCTGGGCTAGATGAACCAAAGATCTGACTCAGTAAAAGGCAGCTTCCCTATTTCTAGACATTTACACAAACCAGCATATAAATGTTGCTAGGAGCAATAGAAGACTCACCATATTATAAACACATTGAAATATGTACAGATGCAACTACCATTCTGAGTTTAACTGACCTGGAAAATACGGCCTTCTGATGTGCCCAGGTGAGCTACAGCCATCCCATTTATGACAGTTACAAAGATGGAGGTCAGTAGCACATCAGACATACGTCCTTTGAAGAGGTCAACCCTGTATCCATCCGTAGCAACATAGGTGGGCTTCCTCATGCAGCTGGTATCCACCACTGGGGCTGAGGAGTTTACCTGGTATGGCCAAGAACAGAAGTTAGTTCAGACAGTGAATGTTTAAGGCACTGAAGTCTTGAACACAGTGGCTACTCCTGCTGAAATTCTCTCTTTTACACCACTATTAGAGGTGCCTTGTCCATCTTTCATATTTGTCCACCTTAGCCAATCTGGGGACTTTGGCAGAAGGCCCATGTACCTTATTCCCTGTGTTACCAGGGCAGCTCTTGGGCAGAAATACTTCCTGGCCCGCTTTCTGTTCCGCTGCAACACCACCTCTGTAGGTGTTGTGCGTGCACACGGTGCCAGGGAACCTGTACATACAAGAGCAGCTGCTCGGTCCAATGGGAACTCAGGCTCAGATAGTGAGGACGAGATTGCTGTGGAATCTCAGCATGCCCAAGCAGTAGACCAAGGTCAGGGAATGTCTGCAGAGATAGAGGGGGAGGAGTTGGCAGTTTGGGCTGATGAAAGGCTGGGTCGATCCACCCATGAGAATGGGGAGAGGGGAAGAAGAGGAAGGGCTGACAGTTTGGCCTGATGGGAGTTCCAGCCTACTAATCTGTGGAGAGGAGGTAGGGATGGAGGCTAGGCATGTCCTACAGCAGGGGAGTGGGGACAGGGAGCTCAGTAGTTTGCTGGGCAGAGACATTCCTCCTCCTGAAGAGGTGGTGGCGGTGGTCAGGTGACAGCACCAGTGGGACGTTCAGTGGCATAGAAAAGGGGAAGAGTACAGGCAGGCACAATTTCACAGTGCTCTGTTCTCAGGAGAAAGATGCTAAAGGGATTATAAAGAAGCAAGAGAATGACTGATGTTAAAGAGGGCTCGACATTTCACTCTGGGTGGCTCAAAGGCATGCAACAATAAAGTTTATTGGGAAAGGAGCTCTGGAGAAGTGTGTTTACGCAGCAGAAGAGCCACAGTGCACAACACCAGGCTCCAGAAACGGCACTAAGGCTTTGTCAGCCTAACCTTGGTAAGTGAGATGTGGAATGAAAAGGTCTGGCTGGCTCCGTTGCTTCAGCCTTGATTCTATGTCTAAGCAATTTATCCCTGGCAGGAGATGAGAAAATAGACTCTTGCCCACCTGCTGGAGGTTTGGCTGAAGAATGGGGTGCAAATTTCAATGACCCCACCCCCCTCAAGACATGCACATGGTAGCATGTCATTAGCAGAGCTGGCTGGAGCCGGGGGTCAGACTAGATGGCCCAGGAGACCCCTTCTGACTTGCTCAGTTTCTATGTTTCTAAAACTCCTAAGTGACGTAGAACACATCATCTGCCTCTGGACCTTTGGATCACTATTTACCTGCTCTGGACCCTAACCACTGGATTTTGAGGACCACATGGTTTTCTTTCGACTGTGCTGGGCCTTGGCACTGAGCTACCATATATAGGATGGTTATGTACCAAGAATCTGCTCTAAACTCACTCACTCACCTTCATTCCAGCTTGCCAAGGTCAGGAAGCATAAGACAAGTTTTCTTTGCCCTTGCCTTCTGCTGAAACCTTGTGGGGCAAAAGTGCTTATGGTTGCTTTAGATTCAGGAATGTCTAGCTATTTCCTTTACTCCATTACCCAGCAGCCAATACTTCCTGCACTTGCATATTCCCAATCACTTAAGCAGCACTATTTTATTCTCAATTGTCACAATAGAAATATCTATTGTATACGCAACATTCAGAGCATGACCCAGTTAGAATCAGCATTATTGTGGCGGGGGCGGGGGGGGGGGGGGTGGAATAAGCTGCCATAATGTAAGGTCATAAAAGTCAGACATAGTCTTCTGGAAATTCCCCAGTTGCGTGGATTGCTATTTGCTCTCCTATTGGAAGGGTCATGGCTCACCACCTGTGATGCCCCAAGGATATTTTCTTTCAGTACCTGCACCTTAGCTCATGCACAGATCTGAGTATTCCCATTTGTTCCTGGATTAACACTGATCATTCATGGTATGCATAAGAGATGGTGCACCTTAGTCATAGTCAGAACCTGCAAAGGTTTAAGCAGCAACTATAGTTGCTACGGAAGAGATCAGACAATAACAGCAAACACAGTAAACTTAAGGACACCAACATTATGCAAGGTACTGTTGCGAAATGGAAAAGACATTTCAGTTGTCTGAAATGCAGACAACCCAGCAGTTGAAGTTTGAATTGGCTTAACATCAGGTTTGTGAGACACAGAGGTAGGGATCAAAGCAAAGGACAATATAATTAACTCAGTAACAACTACAGAAAAAGGAAGAGGTTCAGTCATTCATAGGAGAGCAGTAAGGAGATTAGGTCCCTCAAATGCATATCTAACCATTTTTTAAAAGAAAAGAAGTAGAACAAGATAACATGCAATGCAATTGAAAAATTGAACTTGCAATAGTATCACACAGTGGCCCTAATTCAGATGTAACAGGAAACAAAGTTTTCCTGCTATTTGAACAAGCTGTGGTAAATTTCAGGCTTGCCCACCTCTCTTCCCCTATTTTATGCCCACAATGCAGAGATTGGAAGCACCAGTTTAAACTCAGCACAGTTCTATGCAACATACAAACTTGGGGATCATTTAAAAACTGCCAGAATCCAAAACCACAGTTTGATCTTGGTTTGTTTTCATTAACCAAAGTTTAAATAAATCACAATTCCTGGAGTTCAGACATAGAGAATTGTGGATTGTTTAAAATAAAAGCAGAAGCTGGACGTCCACATGGTGGGCATGTCGTGAGCGGAGCCGGCTGGTGCAGGAGGTCAGAGTAGATGGCCCGGGAGACCCCTTCTGACTCGCTCTGTTTCTATGTTTCTATAACTTTCTCTATTCTCTCTGGTGTGAAAATTGGATCAAGAACCACAACTCATTAACCATAGTTTCCTGTTATGTCTATACCATGCCAAAAAGCCAATATGAATTCTTTGACTGATCCTGCAGAAGATCCTTAATCTGAAGGAACTATCGATTTGCACTCTGTTTTCCCCGATAATGGAATCAAAAACCAGAATATGCTTTCCCTCTGCACATCTGAATGTGTTTATTTTTACTCTCAAAATTCAGCTGTGTTCTCAGCAAAGGCAAAGAAAACCAAAACTGCTCTTATCTGTTCACACAAAACACAACAGATTACACCATTTGTATGATGGAAGAAGGTAATTTCAGGAGGAAATTCTCATACTATTCCTTACAGGGATAACTGATCTTGCACTGAGTCTAAATTAACAGTGACGATGTTAAAATCACATGAATAACCTGTCATTTTAACAAGATAGCCTTGGGGTATAATTATGAGATGAAGTAGTTTGTGAAAACCTCTATTTGAGTGAATGAGTTTCTCAGAGAGTAGTAAGTATTCTCAGCTAGAGATTATTCCACAAAAACATCCAGGTTCCCATGTGGGGAAGCTATGCCATTTAAACCAGATCCAGTCTATCAGACAGCCTTTAGTCAGTGCCACTACTCGGCTGACTCAGAGCCCCACCTTTCTTTCTAGCTTCTGGAATGTACCTACTCCGGACTTCCCTTAATGTGCTTCACACCCACTTCCAAACCTTTTCACTACTGGCTGTTATCAGTGCGGACTAGCCTGAAACCAGTAAATTAAAGTAAGATGTAGAAATCTCTTTCTTCCTATCAGCAGCTGAAAATATTATACAGGAGGGCAGACTTGCCCTCACTTGTCCTTACTGGGGGTGGGGATAAGAAGCAACTATGATGCAGATGAAGAGTCCTTAACTCTAAGAACATTGGTGGCAATAAGGTCTCCAGGAAGGAGTGAAAGAAGAGATGCCCAAATTGCAAGTTAGAGGAAAGGGGCAAGAGACCAACAAAGTCTCTCCACAAAATATTTCCCCCTGCTCCAAACTTGGTTCCACTTGGGCACCACTCAGTCTACATAAATGTCAGAACATGAGAAGCATTGCCTCTTAGAATTGCAATAAGAACAATGGATGTCAAGAGAAAGGTACAGACAGTAGCAGAAATAACACATCGTGTTGAAGCTCTCCCCCTGAGTAACCCTCTGATTGCTCATACTAGATCTCTACTCTGATTTAAGCGTCCTGCCCATAAACAACAGATCCTTCAATCTTTTCATCTGATATATAAAGTATCTTCCCCACAAGGTTCCTTTTCACCTCCTTGCTGTTGTATCGGTCTGCTTTTCTTGTATCCCATCTGCAGCACACGACCCATCCTACCCTTAGGAGTGGAATTTCTTAAGGCTTCTGTATGTACATGTAGGAAAGACAAAGTTCCAACGAATTGGTCATTTTAGTTGCCTTTTTTGCACCTTCAACCTATTTTAATAAATAAAACTAACTTACACTTATCTGTCTTCTTAACTACCATAGAATTTCTGGGCAGACTGTGTAAACTATTTCATTCCAGTAAGCATTCTTCTAAATTTGTCTCTCTGATGGTTTAACTGCTGGTATTTACTGTTTTAATGTTGTGTTTTTATTTTACAAGTTTATATTTTATGATTTGTAGATGGTTTATTGTGATCTGCCATACCCTTCAGTGCAGGATAAAAACAATTTAGCTAATAAATATGTCACTATCAGAATTTCAGTATGACTCCAGAATATTTTGCCAGGGCTGTAACAGCTTATTTAGCTTTCATTAGTGTATATGTGTCATGAGAATTGTGCGTGTTCCAATATACATTATTTTGCTCTTGCTTGTTTTTAATCTCATTTGCCATTTTGTTGCCATGTAGAGAGATACATTTGGGGTGATTTATGGTCTGCTTTAGAATTCCACATCCTGATAACTTCATCTGGCAAACTTGGCTACTTCACTTTAGATTATTTATGAACTAATCCCAACATCTTTCTCTCTCTCCACACACACACACAGCCTTAGCGTCACTGCCTTCTGAGCCATTGAGTTCATTTGGGCTATGCTTGTGGTTGACGTGCAAATGAACTGCTTCTGATGAGAGCTGTAAACTCATATGAAATCATGGCTCCTCTTCCATAAAAAGAAGAACCAAATTTTGTGTTTTTCTTTTGCATTCCCAAAAGTGCAGTTCTAAAAGTGCCATTCACCCACACAGCTCACTCACATGAGGAAGTGTTGCTGCTTCCTGCCACTGCACATCACTGCAGCTGACTGCTTGCAACATCACAACAGCTCTGCTGATGGCCAGAATGGGCTTGCAGGCCACAAGCAACAGCCAAGTCTTGCCTATTTATATAACTGTTTAAAACTACATGCTGAACATTAATGTGAATCCAATCCTGTTTAATTGACTATCTGCATACAATCAGCATGTAGGATGAGGACTGGACAGCAATCCATAAAATTAATTCTCACCTCATGTACTACTTTATCACAGGTTTATGTCATATGCACAGGCCTTGGGCTAAACTAGATTCTGTGTTAAACATGTCATCTGCAGAGGAACCTCACTTTTTATTTATTTAGTAATAACATAGGGCCTGGAGCCAGCCTTGGATCACCATGGACAGGTAGGGGAAGTTTAAACTTTTCCTGCAGCTGTTTTTCCACCCTGCCCCCCACCGCCAATGTAGAGGGCTTCAAAACAGAAAAGACAAAAGAGACAACTGATACCACGAGAAGTTTCCTCATCTCCCTTTTTTTAAGTTACCCCCAGGAGGAATTTAGGAGAAGAACAAGGTTTATACTTTCTCTAACTGCATGCGGTGGTCTGAATCTGAATCAGGGCCCCACATGCTTGTTTGAACATAAAGAGATAAAATTACCTACATGCTACTTAATGTAATGTATAGTTTAGCACATCAGTAGCCTCTCAGCAACCACAAGGTTGTTGCTGGTGGTTTAACAGTGATGTAAGTTCCAGTCCCAGGTGCTTTGGCACACCCAGTCTATAGACTGCAATATCTTAGTAGAGCAAACAGCTAACAAATTAGTCAACCAGCTATTACGACATCATATAAAGATAACATTTTTCAGAGCCGCTGCTATCTAACAAGTTACCTCTACAAGAGACTGAATTCATAAAAAGGACTTACATACTTTCCTACTTCCTTCCTTCTGAAAAAAGGTGGTAAATAGTAGTGTTCCTTACAATTTCACAACAATTTGATCCAATCCAAGTGAACTAACACTGATGTTTTGTGGCCAACTACTTTGGCAGGACTGTGACTAGGAAAGGGGCACAATAAGTAAAGAAATATCCAGCATGTCCAAAAAAATAAAAAGCACTAGTAGTAACTAATATCAAATTATACTACTAGGCACCTGACTTGGTTTAGATTACAGACTGGATTAAAAATTTAGATGAAAAATTAATAAAATTGGAAACTGTAGACTTGGATGAAGTATTTGTGGGCTAAGAAATAAGATGTAACACACTGCAAAGACTGTGTAATCAAAGATGATTTAATAGGAATTTGGTATTCTATAAGAAGAAGAATTAGTCCTCCAATTTCTCCTCTGATGTCTCCAATAGAAATACTGTGATAAGCATCTAAGGAAAAGTAATGATTTCATAACAAATTGAGATATGACTGATCAACAAGGAGGAGTTTAGGCTTGGCAAAAACTAAAAGATGAAATAAAAAGAAAGAATGGCTTCTCTATGTTCAATTGGTTGCAAGACTGAAAAGGGAAATTCAGATAGGAAGAGGTACCATAAAGACACCTGACAGAATTTGAAAAGTTGATTTTGCAGCAAAAAGATCACTTATTAGGATGGATTTAACAATTATTGCAATAGGATACTGAAACTGCACAAGTTAAAATCCGCATGATAAGATGGATGCGGAACTTTGAGGAAGAAACCTCTTTCCACCAATGGGAAACCTTATGGATGAAAGATACAATATTTACAGCTAGTCAAGCACTAAAAGAAAACTGGTACAAAATATTCTTTTGCTGGTATATTACTCCAAAAGATACTGAGAAAATGTACAAGAATTATAACAGAAAGTGCTGGAAATGTCAGAAGGTAGACAGAACTTTTAACCATATATGGTGGACATGCAGTTAGGTCAAAGTATTCTGGAAAGAAATACATACTGAAATGAAATGGGGCATATGGGATGATCAGGGAGGGGTAGCACCTCTGGAGTAGGGGCATGTTGTGTCCTCTTAGGGCAGCTTGTCCACCTTTGGTCCCCACTTGTCACCCAGCTCTCACCTGTGGCTCCCAGTAGCTGTAGCATGCACAGCAGCCACACCCTGGGCAACAGCTTCGACAGGCTGGCCAAACCAGGTAGAGGGTAGCCATTGGCCATTGGCTGTCACCAAGATAAAGGAGACTGTGCTATGAGACCTCCTTTTTGCTGACGACTGTGCCCTGAATGCTGGATCAGAGCAGGAAATGCAAGCCAGCATGGACAAATTTGCAGTAGCATGCGACAACTTCGGCCTCCTCATCAACACAGAGAAAACCAAAGTGATGCATCAGCCAGCTCCGAAAGCCCAATACCAAGAGCCCACCATCACAATGAAGGGACAAAAGCTGCAAGCAGTGGACCAATTTACATACCTTGGCAGCACCCTTTCCCGCACAGTGACAATTGACACTGAGGTCAACTGCAGAATCTCCAAGGCAAGCTCTGCATTCGGCAGACTGCAGACCAAAGTGTGGGACCACCGTGGAATAAGCCTTGCTACAAAACTTAAAGTCTATTGAGCAGTAGTGCTAACTACCCTGATGTATGCCAGTGAGACTTGGACAGTATACAGGAGGCACACTAGGCAACTGAACCACTTCCACATGACTTGCCTCCGCAGACTTTTGAGGATCCGGTGGCAGGACAAGGTGCCAGACACAGAGGTCCTCTCCAGAGCAGGCCTGCCATCAGTTCACACCCTGCTGATGAAAGCGCAGACACGCTGGGCAGGCCATGTTGCAAGGATGCCAGACCACCTCATCCCCAAACAGCTCTTCTATGGTGAGCTGTCTCAAGGAAAGCGATCGCACGGGGGACAAAAGAAGAGATACAAAGACATGCTGAAAGCCTCTCTCAAGTCCCTGGTTATTGACACCACCTCCTGGGAGACCCTGGCACAAGACCGATCAACATGGCGCACACTGATCCACCAAGGCTGCCAAACTTCTGAAGCCAGAAAGACAACCATAGCACAAGAGAAGCAAGCACTCCGTAAAGCCAGAGTTGCAAACATTGCAACAGTGATGCCCACACATGTCTGCCTGACATGTGGCAGAACACTCTGTGCCCGTATTGGTCTTATCAGCCACCTGCGGACACACCGTGGACAACTCACAACCCGTTAGATGTCAAGGTCCTCACTGAAAACAATGGACGAACAACAACAAACAACATACTGAAATACAGAGAAACCTGAACATTAATGTTCCTATCAATGCTAAGAATATGCTATTGAGTATTGTGCCAGAAACTTTGCCAAGGAATATGGTAGAGTTATTTAAATATATGATAGAGGCAGCTAGAGTTATAATAGCATCAAAATGGAATGTAGAAAACTATCCAACTAAAGAAGACTGGAAAAATAGGCCAGCTGAATATGCAGTAATGGCAAAACTAGCTGGTTACATAAATAGAAGAGCGGCTGAAGAATTTATGATAAATGGAAAGCTTATGATATACATTTTACTTAATGGAGCTTGTAAAAACATCAGTAAGTTATTTTAATACAAATGCTTTTTATTTAAAATCAATTTAAAAGGAATGGAAAATAAGTTACTATTAAGAATTATACATTAGAATAATTGCTCTATAAGTTTCAATTAAATACTACTTAATTTAACAGTGCAGAAGAGATAACAATTAGTGAATTATTCTGATTTTTAAAATTTTGATATCATATGTAATATTTGTACAAGATTCCTTGGTATCCTTTTTCTTTACTATACTTTTGATGATAATGATGATGATAAGTCAATGAACTTCTTCCATTTTTCCATTTCAACATATTAAGTTGTAAATGCTTACTTTTTGAACTACAAACTGCCTCTCTTCAGTTGTGTCACATACATCATTAGGACAATAACTCTGAGGGGCTTAATCCACCAGATCTTCATTTCTAAACCACATAGAGAGCTTCAATTGTTAGGCAATACAGACATGAAAACAAAAGCTTAGAACTGATTTAACTGGTAGGGCCGCCTTTTAATTGCTCACACTGGAAGTTTATTTCTTGCTGTTATTTTGATTCCCATATATAGGGTATGAAATTAAAGATACTCTTTTAGAGTTAAATTGTTAAATTTAAGAAACATAAATTAAATTAAGAAACATAACAATCTATGTTTTAAGAGCTGCTATTCATTGATCAGTCACAGCTACCAAAGTGCCCCTTTGGGGCAGCCCACATGTCAATATGAGTATCGGATTAGAATCATAGAATAGTAAAGTTGGAAGGGGCTATGAAGGCCATCAGGTCCAACCCTCCACCCCCTTTGCAGGACACCAAGTTACACCTTCCCACTCAGATGCTGTTCAGTTTCTTTTTGAATGACTCTAGTGTGGGAGAGCCCACCACCTCTCTGGGCAGCTGGTTCCACTGTTGTATTGCCCTGACAGTGAGGAAGCTTTTCCTGATGACTAGACTGAATGTGAATCCAGGTTGTTGCAACTTGGATTAATTATTCCAGATTAGCCACAGAGTAAATCCAATACCAAGAGGAATGGGAAGATAGCCAAAAAAAAAAGGGGGGGGGGAGAGCAGATACTGCTTCAAACAAGAGACCCAATTCTTGTATTTGCTACTTCAGAAAAATAAAGTGCCTATGCATACATTTTTCCACCTTCCATCATCCCTCCATCTTTATATATTAGGTGATTTCAGACACCACACCAAGTCATCCTGGGCATAAGCCACAGTGGGTTGAGTACTTGTTGAATAACCCACAAAAGTGCAAGCAGCCAAGCAGCCTTTCTGAAACTCCCAAAACAGATTTCTTGCACATCCCTATTCACTATAGCAGCTACTATCAGCTGAGTGATCTGGGCATGCCTTGACTTTGCCTGCTCTTGACAGAAATTGTCAAAGAGCAGGCAAAGTCCTGCCCCTTGGGAGATCAGTACCTGCCTATACTTGTTCTTCAAATACAATCTGTGTACCCTGTCTTGGGTTTTCAGTTTTGTCTTGGGCTTCATCTCTGGATGGTCCAATCCTTTCTTTCCTGGTCAGGAAGCAGGTTTCATACATTGTTCCTCCCTCTCAACTTCTTCTATTCTGTTAGCTGCAGAAGTGGCTAGAAAGGAAAGCCTTCCTTTCCCCCACCCTCCCACTCTGTACTCTGACTACCTGAGCAGCACTTTGCATTCTGGCTTTCTCTTCACCTGCCTGCACCAGCTGCCTGACAGTGAAACTACTTTTGATCTGCACTTGCACCTCTGCTTTCCACCCGCTGGCAAAGTGCCTATTGCTGCCTCCTGCTCCCCACTTTGGTATCGAACAGTCTAAGAAGTAGTTTGAGTTCTGGCACAGTCTTCACCTGCTCCTCTTGCTGCTTCTTTCCTTTAGCCACAAAATATTTCTGCTCATTCTACTACTTTTCCCACCACTCTTAATTGGTCTCTATGAGCATGAGAAGCACTTCTACCAAAGCCAACCTTCTCACCTGCTACACCAGGTGGGCAACTTCCTTATATCTGTTGTTTCTTAGAAGTAGGCATGGCTGTGCAACTTCTAAACAATCCTGATTGCAGAAGCATGATTAGTAGTGTGTTATGCAGACAATTCATGACCCTGAGAGAACATTTCTGAGCACCAATTTAAAATGGCTTTGTAAGGCACTGTGGAAGTCTCTGAAATGTACTGGCTACAAGCTTTGCTCATATGGGAAATACTAGCTAAAACAATATCCTATGATCTACAAGAATGGGAAAGTGTTAATATGTGACACATTAAATTTTCAGCTGCTAGTTCTGGAAACTGGGGGTTGTCCTGAAGCAGCATGCCCCCCAGTTGCAAATGTTACACAGGATGCAGTGAGTGACAATGACACATAGTATGAGTGCTTTGTTCCCATCCAGAAATTTGTAGAGAGAGTGGAACCATGATTCTAAGAGTTTCAAAGTGGGCTTCACATGGAGTCTAACATAGCTATGATAGCTGTTAAAGTTTTTCCGTTTGAGCATCCCTGGAGCCTAATATGGTGCCATGAACCACTGCGGAAATGCAATGAAGGGCTGCACAGGAAAGCCATTTACCTTGGCAGGGGGGCTGGAAAAGAATAATCTCATAGCTAGGTTATCTGTCAATGACAAATTCCAGAATATAGCAGTGTCATTGCTTCTTTCTGAAATAACAGCATAAACATGCACAAATCTGCCCTTAGAACTCACAAGTGCATGGAACAAATGCATGCCGTAAAAACACGTGCGCTGCAGAACTCTTCACCCTTCCTGGACAGAGCTAAAATGAGGATGAAGAACCCACTGCCCCCATTGCACAAGCAAACCAAACTCATGGAACCCTTTTATGTTCTCCTCCCCTAGCTATATGATATCAGTCAGGCAGAAGTCATTCAGAATGGCATCACTTCTCTGAATATTTCACACACAGTACATTTCTTAACCAAAAGCAGTACAGAAGGGGAAGTGGTGAGTGCTGAAAGCAAGTGTGTACAGGGTCAGCTTTCCCCCACTTTTAAAAATGTTTTCTGATACAGATTTCCTCACTATTATATCTAAAGGATGAATTGTGTGGTCAATTTTTTTTTTTTTTTGCAATGGTTTCAAAAGCAGCCTGGCACATGAGAAAAATTCAGTGCAATCTTGGCATCATACCAAGTACCTGCATCCAGTACTGATACCCAAATGGCTTCAGGACATGGCTTATCCACCACTGTTCTGCTGCGAGCCGCTCTGCCAAAGCCGTGGTTATTGCAGCATCCTGCTCTTTGACCAAAAGGGAAGGCGTTTCCAGTCAGAACATGCCTCTGAATCATCTATGCCTGTGCTAGCAGAAGATTCTCCAAGAGCCCTGTTCTTCCCTGTTCCTTCTACCTGTGGCAGAGGTGCACGGAGCCACAGCTGCACCCCTGGCTGGACAAGCAGTATCCACACACTGGTAACCTCACTTTAGATTACTGCAATCTGCTATACATGGAGCTGCCCTTGAAAACAGTGCAGAACAGGGCCACCCTTCTGTTGACTGGGACGAATCAATATGAACATTCCTGTTCTTTATCAATTATACTGGCTACCAACTGAACTCCGGTCCTGCTTCAAAGTACTCATATTAACATATAATGCCCTAAACAGCTTAGGACCATGACATCTTAAGGAACATCTCTTTCCTTAGAATCTGAAACCTCATACTCAGAATTTAAGATATTCAATGGAGGTCCTTCCCTAAGAGCCACCTTTTAGGAAGGTGGCTATAAGGGGAACGGTCCTTTCAGTAGTGGTGCCCCATTTAAGGAATCAGCTCCCCAGGGAAATGTGCCTGGTGCCAACACTTTATACATTTCAGAATCAGGTCAAAATCTTTTTATTCTCCCATTATTGTAATTGTCGTTTGAGATGTGTTTTTAAATTGGTTTTTATTATAATGATTGGTTGCAGTGGCTTTCTATGTTAGCATCTATTCTGTGTTATAGTTGTTTAGTTTTTTTGCTTGTATCCTTGTATATGTTTTTGGTAATGCTGTTTTAATGCTTAGCTATGTGTAGACCATTCTGTGAGCAATGTGCTGAGGGAACAGTATATAACATGTTTAAAATAAATAATACATATTCAGTCTGCTCAAAGCAGCATGTGGCAGTGCTGGAAGAGCTTGTGGCAAAAATGTAGTTATGGGTGCTTTTTGAGCTAAGGTTCTTTTGCCATGACTTAGTTCCCCGCCCCTTCCAAAATCCCAAAAATGAGTATTATCAGTCATGCATCACAATGCTTTAGACAAGAAGAGTTGAAGGAGAAGAGAAGAGGCGGTGCAGGCAGGTCCATAGAAAGAATGCAATTTGGAATGAAGGAATGCTTCCCACACTTCAGTTGGTATGGGAGAAGCAACTGTTACTGATAGAAGGAATGCTTAATGTGTTAGGGAAGCGCCTTAGCAAAGGAGGAGGAATGGCCACAAAGCCAGGTTCCATAATGCAAAGTAAGGGGCAGGGAAGGGTGAGGAAATCACAGATTTGCAAAAGTGTCATCCAGAGAGTCCTGTCGCTTCCACAGCCAGAAAAGCATAGTCTCCAGCCTGCATAGCTTACCCAGCAAGCAGATTTTGGCTCATAGACCAAATTTGTCTGTTTTGCTTTAGGTATCTGCAGAACGGTAGGTAAAACTGCTTAAATAAGCAAGGTTAGGGTGTCCATATAAATTGGATAAAGAATGAGAAAAGGAAGAAATAACAAATACTTTTATCTGCGCAGGAATCAATATTCAGCCCCCACTTCTTCTTCCCTTGCCTGCCTGCACAGAAGGTGGTTGGTGCGGACTGCTCAACAGACATCTCTCATTGCCTGCACAAATTCAAGGTCTTTGGGTGCTGCCATACTGTTGTGCACCGATTCACCTGAACAGAGGTTGCTATTAGCGATGGTCCATGGTCCATGTTAACCTGTGGACCAGATACTTACTGCCCTTCCTCTATTTTCCTTTTTCTTCATTTCCTTGAAAAGCTCACATGTGAGCTCCACTTTTGTTTCACTTTTGGCAATGAAAATATCTTTTCAAGCTGCATCCAATCAGTTTTATGCTACTCTTGGAGATGTGCTGCCCTTTGTGCATTAGTCAGTAATGGATCTCCTTCTAGTGCCTGTCCCCTCAGCTGTGAGGGCTCTGTGGCCACCAGAAACAGTTGCTCTGATGGCTCTTCTTTAGGTTCACATTCTGCTCAGGGACTTTGCTCAACCCTCCTCTTCCAGAAGGTGAGTGAAGGATGGGTTGCTACGATCTGTAGCAATCCAGTAGTGGGGGTTACCGTTGTCCCTTCTTCTCCTGATGCAGATCAGCAAGAAGGGCCCTCTCAAAATTCCCACCCACTTCTGGGGGTTCACTTGTACAAACAAGGGCTGCATCACCCTCTGGTCTTCGTCAGCAACCCTGTGATGTGCACTTTGCTGCTGCTTCTCCCAATCCACCTTTCACATTCATCAGGGTTTGCAGCTTCTACTGCTCTTTCAGGTTTTTAAAGTATGCCTATTTTGCTACCAATGCAAAGTGTAACATACACGCAGCACTGCCGGTGAGTAACGATGTCCACCTAAGGGCAGTGTTGCTTTTAAAAATTCCATACTCTTCACCTCTCTTCAAACCAGAGAGCACAAACTGGAAGCACACTCTCAATTCATCCTGGTATTAAAAAATTACAAGAAAGACTTTATTTTCAGCTACACCAAAGAATGGGCATGGGCCTAGATCTAGTAACCACTACTGTCTTCCAATTTTGTCCCTAACTTGTTCTCCACCCTTTGGAGAAATAAATTTTCTCTCCAAATATACCAGCTCCACAAAAATGATCTAATCACATTATTATCATGCATTCTGTTATGGATCTCTTTAAAATGTATTTGTTCAAACAGGCCTTCTCTGAGTCACTAGTGAATACAAAATGTGTTCTACTCTCCACAATGTCAAACTTCCAAAATGATGCTTTCTATATTTATCTGTCCTTGTGCCCAGTGCCTTTACTGACTTCAAGTCACTTTGTGAAGGTATGTCACAAATTTATATATGATATGTGTTGAATAAATATACCCACTAACAAAAAAGCACCACCCTTTTAAAGGAAGAAGATCACATATTACTGCAAATAAACATGAAACAGCTTCATGAAATAGTAGCGAGGCTCGGCATATAGTTTGTTTGTTTTTTTACAAATGATATATGTAGAATTAAACAAACACCTTGGAGACACAAGGTGTGGAAGGAATTAAAGTGTATGGGGGGGAAGTCAAAGACAGTATAAGAAAACCATGATTATTTTAAGAACTCTCCTACTGTTATGTTACCCTCTGAAACAACAATACCGGTAACTATATAACTACAATGTTTGTGTGTAATATTCAGTATGCCCTTTCTTCTTGTTGTTCTGGAGCAAACCCTCAATTTATTTATGTAACTGCCATCTTATCTTGGTGTCTGAATGCTCTATGGCCATTCTACTAGACTCGGGTACAGTACTGAATCTGCCTTGGTCGCCCTGTACGACGACCTGTGCAGGGAGAAGGACAGGGGGAGTACATCCCTGTTGGTTCTTCTGGACCTCTCGGCGGCTTTCGATACCATCGACCATGGTATCCTTCTGGATAGACTTGCGGGATTGGGGGTTGGAGGCACTGCTTTGCAGTGGTTCTGCTCCTATCTCAACGGTCGATTCCAGAAGGTAGTGCTGGGGGACCATGTCTCTACGTCATGGCAGCTATGCCATGGGGTACCACAGGGCTCCATTCTATCCCCTCTGCTATTTAACATCTATATGAAACCGCTGGGAGAGGTCATCAGGAGGTGTGGGCTGCGGAATCATCAATACGCTGATGATACCCAGCTTTACCTCTCATTCTCCACTAATCCAGGTGAGGCAGTGGCTGTGCTGAACTGGTGCTTGGCCGAGGTAAGGGAATGGATGAGGGCCAATAAACTGAAACTCAACCCAGACAAGACGGAGGTCCTGTTGGTTGGCGGATCGGGTTTCGGAGAGGGTGGATTTGACCTGGTCCTGAATGGTGCAACACTCCCTCTTAGGGATAAGGTCCGCAGCTTAGGAGTACTCCTCGACCCGGAGCTTTCTTTGGAAGCTCAGGTGACAGCGGTGGCGAGAAACGCCTTCCTTCAGCTTCGGCTGATTAATCAGCTGCGCCCCTACCTGGAGTATGACTGCCTGGCGACGGTGACACACGCGCTGGTGACTTCCCGCCTAGACTTCTGTAACGTGCTTTACGTGGGGCTTCCCCTGAAGACAGTCCGAACACTTCAATTGGTGCAAAATAGAGCTGCCAGGTTGCTGACGGGGACGGGGCATTATGCTCACATGACTCCAGTCCTCCGTCAGCTTCACTGGCTTCCCATTGAAGCCCGGGCCCAATTCAAGGTGTTGATTATGACCTATAAAGCCCTAAACGGCTTGAGTCCTGGCTACCTGAACGAGCGCTTACGTCCGTATATGCCCGACCGCCCTTTGAGATCTGCGGGAGAGTCCCTTCTCCGGGAACCCTCCATGAAACAAATTAGGAGAGTAAGTACCCGGAGGAGGGCTTTCTCTGCGGTGGCGCCCAACCTATGGAATTCACTCCCCAAAGAGGTCCGCCTGGCTCCGTCGTTACTGGTTTTTCGGCGCCAGGTAAAGACCTTTTTATTTAAACATCATTTCAATTGTTAAAACATATGATCTGGCCAGGGCAACTTCTTCTTCCTTCTCTTTCTCCTCCTATATTTTTATTTTATACTGATAATTCTAATTTTATATTTGTAAATCAATGTATGTTTTGTATTTTTGTATTTAATGGTAATTTATTATGTACTATTGTATTTCAATGTATTTTATCATGTTGTAAGCCGCCCCGAGGTTTCGGCAAGGGGCGGCATAGAAATGTTAATAATAATAATAATAATAATAATAGACTGATGAGCCAAAAAAATAATAATAATAAGCACAACTCAAGGCTGGAAATAGTACTGCTAAGTGAGTATACCATGAGTGGTTTCAGCAACAGGCCCACCTGGGCATGGGCCCCATATCATTACAGTTGCCCCATCTAGCTTAATACTAGTTCCCTCTGAACTTGGTAGCCTTGCAGTTACTAAGAGAGCACTCGCTCCCTTAACAGATTAATGGGGTGTAGTGTGGAGGTACCAGCCTTCTAAATGAAAGGGGAGACTGCCAGCATGTCCTTCTGATTTGCTCATTATACAGTTTTTCTGTGGTTTTCCCCATCTGCAAGGGTGAAATGCTTCTCCTGAGGATGAGGCACTTAAAGGGTGTAAGTTATAATAACTTGGTAATAGTTATTACCAATTTGATATTAATAACATGTAATAACTTGACTTTTTGCTCCACCCTTTTGCCTTTGGTACTGTCCCCTTTGCCTACTGCTCTACCTGCCACTGGAACATACCCCAAAGCTCCTCCAAAATGGAGTTTGGCCTTCAGGCTGAGTTCTCCTAGCCCAGAGATAGCAGAGACAGCAATATAAAGCCCCTCTGTTCTTCATCAGACCTTCTCGCAAGACTTAACTGTTGCCTGAAGCCAGGCTAAGCCTTCCCCTTATCTGAAGGTAAGCACAGAACTTTCTTCTGGCTTTACATTTTGTTTTGTTATCCTTAATTTCCTTTTGTTCTGGTTAACTTTTTTAGTCCCATATTGACAAGCAGGGTCCACTGTGCTGACAGCCAGCTAAATCCAAATCTGCTTTGGCAGATGATATCCGAAACTACAGGGCTTTTTCCACACTAGCTCTCCACCATTTATTTCTGTAGGCTACTCTAAAGGCCCTGATACAAGACACAAGGTTAGCACATCACAACAAGCAAGATTGTAATGACAGTTTACCATGTTTTCCCTGACAATCACAAACCGCCAAACCTACCACATTTTCTACCCCGCTCCCCGTTCTCCCATTCTCACAATGCACCCTGCCTCCCCCATGAACAAAGTCCCTTTATCACTCTGTTGTTTCTTAGCTATCTCAGCTGCCTCTTCTTGATTGGTTGACTGAGGTTTTTAGTCACGTTCTCCCTCTTTCATCTCCTGATTGTGCCTCCATCCCTTTAATGCATCCTAACCAGACTCTTAAAAGGTTTTTTTTTTAAACCTATTAAAATAAACACTTTTGCTGTGCATAGAACTCGGCTACCAGGAACAAAGCAAATGATGAGGTGTGCATTGCTAGGATGCTTCAGGTAGTAGCAACTGGATGCTTCGAATGGCCCTTTATATTGCCACTCTTTCCACAGGACTCGATGGAGCTTTTTTCACCACAAATGAAAAAATGGAGCTTTGAGGCCCCAATGTCATAACAGACAATACAACATACCACTGTTTCTTTGTGTTGGGCTCCAGTCCAAAACAAGCCACAGTGATATTCTGCGACTAGGTCTAGACAACACAAGAAGTTCATAATGGTTAAAAAAACTCAAACCCATAGCTGTTTTTTGCAATGTGCAAACCCAGTCACTGTAGCAAACTCATATGAGCTTGGTTTGCGATTTCTTAAATTTGAATATTTAAAATGGCAAATAGAATAATCTATCTCATTGGCCTGTTGTTAAGATGAATAAAATTCTGTATGTTAAAACATTTGGTATATTAACAATTTTAAAAAACTAACCCACCTCAAGAAACACCTCTGAAGTCACATGCTATTATATTATGTAAGGCATGGGCCCTCAAACTAAGGCCCACGGGCCAGATCCAGCCCGCCATTCCCATTTAACCAGCCTGCCCCAGAGGTTTTGCACTCGCCACATGTGGCTTGCTCACAAGGAAGTCGTTTTGAACTGCTCAAAGAAAACGATCTCCTTGTGAGCAGGCCAGCACCTTGCCCCACATGCCCCAGTCCCCACCTCACATGCGCACACGCACGCCCCACCCCCTCACTGGCCTGCGCTCCCCCCCACTGGCACCGCCTTGGCAGCCTGCACCCACAGCTGGCACCTGTCAACTGGCCTGGTTGAAAAAGTTTGAGGACCCCTGATGTAAGGAGAAAGGAAAGACTTGCTGGGGACTCACATTATGCGGGCAGTACTCAGCATCCTGATAAAAGCTCAGTCCTCGGAATATCTTGTCACGGCCACTCAGAGTGCAGCATTTCCTCATCCCTGCGTCAATAGCCTCATTGATCTTGCTCACAGGAAAAGCACACACTGCTGAGTACTTCTCCGGCACCATACTGTCTGCCTGGCTTCTGGCAAACACACCAAAGAGAACCAGCTCTGTGGCACTGATGCTGAGCTCATGGGCCAGCTTTAGTCCTGGCTTGGTAGCATGGGCTGCCTGCAAGATATTAAAATCTACTTGTCCAGAGTTTGTCCCAAGACTCCTCCTCCGCCTGTTTAGAAAGCGGCAGTCCAAGTTCAGCTCACGGTACTTGTGCACTTCGTTCTCCTCGATGCTAAGCCGAGCTATCCTAGTGTGGTACAATTTGGAGTTGGGATTTTCCTTTTGAACTGTCAGGAAATATACAAACTGCTGGTCATTAAAGGAATATACATAATCAATCGGGTATGTGTCTTGATACACAGGAAGCACAGTTAAGGAATGGAAAGGACGATTAAATCCATCCAAGGTACTCTTCAGTCTCCGTATAGACACCGATTTGGGGCTGTATGTCTCTGCTATGCTTCTGTTGACGGTGGATGCGATGTAGAAGTATGAAGCAGATGACTTGTCCACAACCACAACCCTCGTGCCTAAAGGACTAGCCACACAATCTGGACACTCGGAAGCTTTGTTAAGATGAGCGGAATACAAGCATGATGATGTTGCAATTGATGGAACGTTGTCTTGTATCTCAATCTCATGCTGGAAACAAATTCCATGTTGGGAGCTTCCACAACTGTAAAGCCAAGGTTCATAAGGATCCACCACCAAAACTTTGTTATCCGTGTCTTCAAAATCCATTGGCCTGTTCACAGAGCACAGGTCACAGATCTTACATCTGTTACTACCCCAGGGACCAGTCACAATGGTAGACATGATTTCCAGCTCTGAGTTCAATACGTAGATTTTGTTCCGGACAGCAACAAAGACAGCATTAGCAGGCTCATAGGCAACTACGTTCTGAATGGAACTCTCAGCTATGAATTTAGAGAAGTTATATTTCACAGTATAATCTCTAGTCGAATTATAGGAAATATGTGGGCATTGCCAAACTTTCCCAATGATTTTTATGGGCAATAAGCCCAGTGTGAGGCAAAACAGAAATGATATGCCCATACTAGGGGCAGTAGTTATAATGCAGAGTTCCAGATATCAGAGGCTACCTCAGTTCTTCAGTTCTGTGTGGATGTGCAATCCATCTTGGATAATCTACCATTGCATTACAGCTGGGGAGAGAATGAAAGAACACAAATGAGTAACACTGCAGCAATACAAAGGTGGCATGCTTGTAGTCTAACATTACCCGGCACTTGCCAGAACAGCAAGATACTTCAGTTACCCCACTACACAATAAAAGGGTACAAGATCTCCTCATGTGAAGGAAGTTACTCCAAGGGCTTTTCTATACAGAGGTTCTCCAGTTTTAAGGTTTGCAAAAATCACCACGCTTATAGTATGCTACATCTGGATGCATTTTTTTATTATTATTTTATTTAGAATTTTTGTATGCTGTCCCATCGCTTACAGCCTCGGGACAGCTCACATAAAATAAATAAACATAATACATAGTAAAATAATACAATAAAAAACCCAGAATCACCCTGGCTGCAAAATTAAAACCTATAGATATTATTAAGAGTTGTTAAAATATTGTTTAAATAAAAAGGTCTTAGCCTGGCACCGAAAAACAAATAACGACGGCGCCAGAGAGACCTCTCTGGGGAGCGCATTCCATAGATGGGGCGCCACTGCAGAGAAAGTCCTCCTCCAGGTACTTCGTCTCCTGATGTCTCTCCTGGAGGGCTCCCTGAGGAGGGCCTCTGCTACCGATCTCAAGGGGCGGGAGGGCAAATATGGAAGCAGGCGTTCCTTTATGCATAATGCACAAGTTGTCTACAGGTAAGCATGTGGGAAAGAGCAATGTTGATGTTGGAAGAACATTCTTATACTGTCCACCCAAGGGGACTGCCCTTGATAAAACTGTACTATCCCATACGCCTTGCTGCTTAACTTCCAATTTGGTACTAAAGCGCTTCATATCTAAAGTAAATGAAAACGCCCCTGTTCAGGACAACTAATGCAACCCATTTGATTCAACCTATATTAGGCTACAATAGAGAATGAAGGAAAGGATGGAGAGAGTTTCTCCTCCCTGTACCATCTTCTGACCTTGTTGGCAGGCCTGTGCAGCATGCTATCTTCAGGGCAAGGAGTTACTGGAACCAGCTGCCAGTCAAGAAGTGGCTTTGCTTCTGGTTGTGATGCTCCCTCCCTCTTGAGAACCTTCCTTGTCTGACAATTGCAAACTGAGGAGAATGGAGACCCGGTTTATATTCTACCTAGGCCATGGGTCCTCAAACTAAGGCCCGCGAGCTAGATCCGGCCCACCATGCTCATTTAACCGCCCCGCCCCACAGGTTTTGCCCTTGCTGGGTGCTCGTGTGTGCAGCTTGCTCGCGAGGAGGTCATTTTGGACTCGCTCGGAGAAAACGATCTCCTCATGAGCAAGCTGGCTCCTTGCCCCCCCCAACCTCCCCTCATTTGCACGTGCATGGTATTTCAGAAGTTTCATTGCATCACCTTGGTAAGTGGACACTGCTAAACAACATTTCCTAGTAGTCAAAAGGCAATCTACATATGGTCTGCTAATCTTTTTAACATAAGTCCTGATCCTTGCATAGTCTCTTGGTTTCATCTCTTCATGTCTGAAAATATTGGCTGTTCAGCACTGTGCAGGAGAGAGAAAGCCAGATGGAATGTATGGATACATCACACCAAGAAAATGTGTGCATTCATGTGTAAGAGAGAAAAAGATACCGGCAGACAGCATGGGAGAAAATTATATTCAGAAACATGTAAAATAACTGCCTTTAGACATTTATTAATGACTGCATCATTGTCAACATCCACTCATTTTAAGAAGAGAAGAATCTTGCTGGGTCAAATCAAAGGCCAATCTAGTCCAATCTCCCAGTGCCTATAGTGGCAAGCCAAATGCCTTTGGGAATCCCGCAAGCAAAACCAAAGCACAGTCCTCACCTACATTTGTTCCCCGTACTTAGCATTCGGAGGCATGCTGCTTCTAATTCTGGAGTTAGCCTAACCATAGGAACCTGCAGTCTAAATACTGTAAATTGCAGTTAGATACATCTTTTTCTAATCCCCTTTAAAAGCCATATTGATGCCCACCATCATATTTGCTGTATTTAAGTCCTCCATTCAGTCCCAATGCTTTTGATTTTATCTTTGCTCCAGAGATGAGAGGGCCTAGCTCATGGGAAAAAAACTTCATGAACAGTTGAAAAAACTAACATTCCCTTTCTCAACAACAATTATTCCCCTCTCCAAAAGGAGGTGGGAGATATTTCCCATGTTTGTAATCACAACATTAACCCTATAATTAGTTAGCATGCACAACAAATGGGAGGCTTCAGTGGTTCGGAGTGCCTTTAGCTGGTGGCTCAGCTACACCCCTATCTGGACAGCCTGCTATCAGTGATCTATACTCTGGTAATCTCTAAACTAGATTACTGCAATGCACTGTATGTTGGGCTGCCCTGGAAGACTGTCCAGAAGCTGTAGCAACAGACTATTAAAAGGGATCAGATGATCTAATCATACAACACCAATTCTGTCCTGCTTACGCTGGCTTCCTGTATCTTTCCAAGCCCCATTCAAGTGCTGGGTTTAACCTATAAAGTCCTATGCGGCTTGGGGCCATAATACCTGACTGAATGCTTCTCCTGACCTTTTTCATTCTGGACACTACAATCAGATTTGGGGGACTTTCTACAACTGCCCCCTCTGAGGGAGGCTCATGTGGTGGCAACAAGGAAAAGGGCCTTTTCAGTGATGCCTCCCCCAGTTATGAACAAGTTCTCCAATGAAGTCCACCTGGCACCAACTTTTCAGTGCCAGGTAAAGATTATCCTCTACTGCAGGGCATTCAAGTACCTTCTGGGGTCTGCTAGCTGTTAACAGGTCTGAACATTTTTTTTCTTTTTCTTTACTCTTCTTCTGTTTAATATGTGGTTTAAAATTTTGCATTGTAAACTTTTAATGATTTTAATATGTTTGTATACAATGCATCTTTTATTGGTTTTTTAAAATGTGCTTTGTGAACTGCCTAGAGAGCATCAATTGTTGGGCAGTATAGAAATAAATTAAATGAATAGACTATCTCCCACTTTCTGTCTTGCATTAACAAATGACAAATACAATAAGCGATCATGACAACAGGCAATCTTAGGCTATTAAAGTACACTGAGTGGGCACATGAGGGAATGCCCATACTGATATAAATGTGTATTTTGGGGTATGGTTGCCATGTAAAAAATGAAACACCCAGGATATCTTTTTAACTATCTATTTTTATTTGTAACTATCTAATTATCTATTAATTTATTTGGTTTAGGGTTTAGATTATATTATATTGTAAGCTGTCCAGAGATGATAGTGATAGATGGCCTATACATGTCCTAAATAAAATAATAATAATAAATATTTTCCCTGTTGACACATATTTGTATTAACTCCAGGGATCTTATAGTTTGATTCTGTATATTTTTATCAGGAAGTCCAATAGATTTCAGTGTAATTTCCTCTCTACTTTCATCTTAGTATCCATAACCCTTAATGAGGCAAGGAGTTTCTTCAGCACACACCTGAAAAGTGCAATCAAGTGCTGAGAGGTCATGGCTTTGCATATTACATATCTACGAGTACCTCTTCCACAGGAAAACTACCACAGTCTTCAATATGCTACAAATTATAGTAGTAGTAATAAATGTTCCAGTAGAAAGAAACGAGAGCCATTCGCTCGGCCGGTGCGTAGGTGTCTTCGCTCTATGCTTCCCACGGGCGACCTGGGCAACAGGTAACAGGCTAAAAAGTCCCAGCTCAGTCTCGCTACTTGCGCGGACGGGGAAGTCGGAACCGGAGCGCCCTCCTCAAGCTTAGTTTGAGTTGAGCCTGCTTCAAGTGTCCCAGCCCTGCCCGAAGAAACCTGCCGCCGGCAAACTCGGAAAGAATCGCGCGGAACGAGCGGGCTCAGAGCCCCGCCGCCGCCGGCTGCTTCCCAGGGCCCCGCAAAGCCCCTTCTCGACGACTCCTCGCCAAGGACTCACCCTGCCGCCGCAGCCGTGGTCGCGCACTCTCCGCTCGGGACGCACCTGGGCAGGAGGCTCTCAGGACAGGAGCAGACAGCCGTGGGACGGGATCGGGCGCGGACTGAACCCAAGGGGCGGGAGCGGGGCGGCGTCCCCGCCTCCGCAGCGGGAGCGGCATGTTCCCGCCATCGGGTTGGCCTCCTCGCTGCAATGCCGTCGCGCACCCAAAGCGGGCGGTGCCCGGGCGCACGAAGGAGTCGCGCCGCGGCCCCTGCACTCGTCTCCGCAGAGGCTGCGTCGGTGGCGGCGCTGGGCGGAGGCCGGGAGGGAGCTGTGCTCGGTGGTGTTTCCCCTCGGGCCAGTGCACGCCTCAGACCAGCACTGGAGGAAGTCTGGGGCTTGCCCGGCGCGTGTCTCACGACGATCGCCGTTCCACAGTCCTCATGGAAACGCGTGTCGGTCTACACCGGGTGGGGGATGCAGGGCAGAGATTGCCTCACTTCCCCGGGCTGTGTGCTGCCTTTCCGACTTCAACGCGCTCACCTAGAAACTTCATGCGTCCGCACCTGAAACTTTCTCGGAGAGTGTGCGGCGCCTACGCGATTCCGTGGGGGACAACACCCCCCGTTTAACCCCCGAAGCATATACGCTGTGGCAGGCTGCCTCTTACTTAGAAGTTGAGGGGAGATCCTGTTCAACCCTTTCCCTGCCTTCTCCTACTCAAAATCACCCTTACCCAACCTTCTCATTTACCAGAGGAGTAGAAAGGGGAGAGGCATATTATTTATTCATTAGATTTATAGCCTGCCTTTTTCTGTTCAATAACTCAAAGCAGCTTACATCACTCTCCTCTTGCTGCCTGCAAACTTATCACCACAACAACCCTGTGAAGTAGACTGGGCTGAGAGTCTGTGACTGACCTAAAGTTACCTAGTTGCATCCAGGGCTAAGCAGAGACTAGAACCCAGGTCGCCTGAGTCCCAGGGTCACAATATTAACTGCTAGACTACACTGGCTTTCAAGGGGAGAGACATCAATATGACAATTCACCTGAGACAGAACAGCAAAAGGTGGGTTACTACCCTGCATTGTTCTGAATATTGACAGAATTGCAAATGAATCCATTATTCCCACAATTGCCTCTTTCCTTTAATGATACCCCAAATCAGCTACCTAAGACAGGACATGAGCTGGAGTAAGTTCTAGAGCTTGATCTACTGGCTGAGTTCTCTCGATGATTTGTAATAACTGGATGAGGATGTCTTACCTGAGTATTTAACGACAGTGGCAACAACCACAAGACTCCCTCTAGCCCAGATTAAAGTGCCAAAAGAAAGAAAGCTGGGGTGCGGGGAAGGAAGGATTTTTGTATGAAAGACTATGAGCTCTGTTCAAGTACTGAAAATAAATTTATCCATGACTATGTACCTATGGTGTTTCTGCCCTAATTTGAAAGCTGCAATCTGAAACTTGTCCTGGGAACTTCCTACCAAATAAAGGTTAACAGTATGTTCTACAAATGTTTGGTGCCAACTGCTCCCTGGCTCTGGTAGGTGACCCTCAGCGAGTTAGTGGAAAATCAAAGATCCTGCAAGTTTCAGCCCGACTGCCATGGCCTAAAGCAGCATGAGCTAGTTCACTCAGGTCCTATTTCTGAAAAGGAACAAGAGAGAAAGGGTTAAAGGTCCTTTACAGCCTGCCACAGACCTTGACCAATACAGATTTTACTTAAAATACATATGTAGCAGCCCCAGTCTAAATCAGGACCCTAGCCTAGGGGATATGTGTGACTTTAAGATCTGTATAGAACGCCAACTGCTTATTGTACTCCAAGAAGGTTTAAAGTAATTTCTCTTTTGTCTCTACTTAAGCTGCAACTGGTTGAATGTTAAAACCAAATCTACCTTTATCAGATAAGTTTTTTTTTTCATTTTTCAGTGCAGCATAGGCACAGGGAAGGGCCCAACCTGGTCCAAGGCCTAGTACTGTAAATAGATGAACTGTTAAAATTTGGATTGGGCTCTGTGCCCCTACTCTAAAAATGAATAAAAGCAATAGTGAGTAGATATGGATTTAAAGTAATGTTTTTGGCTCTAAGAGTCATACTCTTTGGAAATTATGAATGCCACAAGCCTCCAGGTGAATACTATAATATTTGAAAGGGGAATGTGTCTGAAAGTAAGAAATGAAGAGATGTTGAGGCAATCTCTGCTCCCTGGCATGAATTGGTATGTTTTCCAAACACACATTAACTTTCAGATACAAAGTTCACTGAGAAACAAAAGTATAGTATGGTTCACTGAGTTCACTGAGAAACAGAAGTATAGTGTGGCTTAAGTAAGGTTGATTTGATTGTGTGAATCAGGTCACAGACTTTCAGTAGTGGGGGAAACATAATCTGCAGTGTACAGACTCTTCCATTTCTGGGAAGAGGGTCCTTAGCCAAACCTACTGTCAGGCCATAGATGTGTTTCAGGGCAAAAGAGTGTTGGGACCCTATTCCTGCATTTCCCACCCCAATTTAAATATTTTAAATTTACTATTTAAATACATTGATTGTCAACATTACAAATTAGTAAATGTGTTTATTGATGATAAATTGATTATTTTATGCAACCCTACTATCCTGGAATGCTGAAGTATTATCTTACAGTATCAGGAAATTACAAATCATAGTACAGTAGCCCCCCACCCCCAAATCTGCTGTCTCAGTTACTGTGGTTTCACTTAAATGTAGCTGACTGTGTCCCTCCACATTTGAGGTGTTTATGGGCACAGTAGTACCCCTGCAAAACCCCCTATGAAATATCCTTGGGGATGCCTCTCTCTTTGTCTCAGTACTAGCCAGCCTTGCTCATGTGTTTAGTCTCCCATGGGCATGAGGACTCTAGAGATACTTGCATTTTTCCACTCCTGTTGGGAGTCCTGCATCCCTAACCCCTGCGAATGTGCAGACCCAACTATATAGTACACAGTGTTCACTACTATCCACAGTTGCAGGCATTTGTTGTGGGGCTTGAAACCTATCCTCAAGCATACAGGGCTCCTGCTATATCTATAAAGATCATTGATTAGTAAAATTAACAACAGATATGATCAAATATTAACTTAATTCAAGGAAAAAATCTTTAGAAAAGTAATTATTGAATGAAAGACTTATTTTTTGCTTTCATTTTGTGTAATGTATCAATTAAATTATCAAAAGATTTGCCTGACTAGCTTGCTTTCTGCTGAGGCCACAGTAAGGTGGTCACAGGGCAATTCTATTGGTTGCACGCTTGGAGATTGGAAGTCCCCAAGCTCAGAGCCTCCAATCATCCAGTTTGGAGCAGGAGGAGCAGCAGAGATGATCTTCACCTCTCTGTTCTCTCACCTGGCAGATTTTGCTCGACAGGATTTTTAGCCATAGTGCTTCAGAGAAGAGGGTGGAAGTAGCTCATATCCTGGCCTCTCCAGTCTTCTCTCTCTGCCTACCACAATGTCCCCCTTCCCCTTCTCTGCGATCACTTTCCCATCCTTGGAGGCCAGCTGGAATGGTTCTTTCCATGTCAGCTGCAAGGATGAAGGAGATGGACCTTTCTGAGGTTCCTTTCTGAGGTCAGCACTGTCCTGCCCTTGGAGTGGAGAATTCCCCTATCTTATGACACCTCAGGGCATGCATGCATGCATGCATGCATTCATTCACAGGGTTCCTATAAGTTCAGGGTTTGGAAACACTGCCCTACCAAGGGAGACTGAGAACTAGGCATGTTCAGTTTTGAGAAGAGAAGGCTGAGAGGGGGGCTGATACCCTCAAAATACCTCAAAGGCTGTCACAAAGAGGAAGCTCAAGATCTCTTCTTGCTGATACCAGAATGTGGGGCATGGAATAATCAATTCAAGTTGTGACAACTCAGATTCAGCCTAGATAGCAGGAAAAGTTTTGTGTCTCTCAGGGCAATACGACAGTGGAACCAGTTGCCTAGAGAGATTGTGGGATCTTCCACACTGGAGACATTAAGAAAGAAAATGGGCTGTCATCGGAGTGGGATGATGTAACTTGGTGACCTGCAACAGCAGGGTTTGAACCTGATGGCCTTCTTGGCCACTTTCAGTTCTACTGTTCTATGAAGTCAGAGGGTGCTGTGAGTCAGGGGTGTCTATAATTACAAAAATACACATAGAATTGCACTAGTTTACAGTTAAACTGGTTATTTTCTATTTTAATGTAATGAGGCTTGCAAAGGAGGAGCCTGGCAGCCCCCTGATTGGAGCTGATTCCAGATTTGTGGGGTTAACACTCAAAACACCCTGGTACTTACCAGTCAAACTGCCCTTGGTGATGGGTAAGTGAGAAGAACATCTGCTGATGACCTCAGAATGGTGCAGGACATCTCTGTCCTTCAGATAACTTAGGCAGAAACCATTTAAGTCCTTAAAGGTTAATCTCAGCCCTTTAAATTGGGCTCAGAAACACACTGGCAACCAATAAAGCTGGCACAGTATCGAAGGCACATGAGTAGACCATCCAACCCATGCCACCCCTTTGTCCAGCAGTGCACTGAGCATGCTGCGGGCCATTCCTTGTCTGAGCTAGTACGTCCTCTTTGAACTGAATAATAGAACAGTAGAATTGGAAGGGGCCATGAAGGCCATTGGGTCCAGCCCGCTGGAGTTGCTGGACACCAACTTACACCATCCTACTCATGTGGCTGCCCAGTTTCTTTTTGAATGACCCCAGTGTGGGAGAGCCCACCACCTCTCTAGGCAGCTGGATCCACTGTTGTATTGCCCTGACAGTGAGGAAGCTTTTCCTGATTTCTAACCTGAACCTGGGTTGTTGCAACTTGACTTGATTATTCTGTGTTCTACACTGTGGTACCATGTCAGGCCCTGGAGAGGAGCAGGTTGCTGGCTGTTTCAAGGTATTCCGTGGCCTGGTACATTCCAAGTGCCAGGCGTAGCGTGATGACATAGGTTACATGACAGGAGGAGCCTCTCTGCACCCTGTTGCCTTTGTGTAGAGAGTAATCAGAATTGTGGCCAACGGAATTAAAGAGCCTAATTTTAGCTCTAAAATATAACACATGTTGTGACGTGGAAGGAAGAACTATTTCAAGGGGTGGGGAGACCCAGATGTATCAAGCTGACTCTTAAAGTATTTTTTCTTTTGAAATATCCCTGGCGCTATATATCTACATCAATGCAACATGATTGCATTTTATGACTTTATTGTTTATAAGCAGATGGTTAGCACTAAGACTAGTAATTACAATCTTAG